AGTCTCACCAAGATGCTCCACTGGACGTGAGGCTAAAAGCAGCAGGTCTGATGCCGTTAAACGCCAGTGGGCAATGAACCTCCAAGGCTCGCCTGCCGCCTGCATGTGATTTTGGCTGGTCGGTCGGAGAAATCCTTGCAGATGGCTAAGGAAATAACAGCAGTCCTGCTGATCAGATTTGTTTACAAGCGTTTGGGACGCTGTAGGACTCTGTGAAAGGTGCCGCTTGTCTCCAGCAAGGCAGGGCTTTTTGGAAGGTGGATCTGCATGCGGAGGAAGGAGGAGGAGGGGAGGGAGGGAGCCCATGTCTGGACTCTGCTTTAATCATGACCGGCTCCCCCTTTCCTTGCATAATGAAATCATGCTGCTAAAATGTTCTGGGGAGGATTGGCACACATCTGTTGAAGCTGGGGCTGTCTCCCTGCAGCCGCGCTTAATGGTGTGCACATAAACCCTGGAGCCGAGACATGGAGGCTGGACAAGTCCTGTTTTCTGTTTTTCCACAGGTACTGCCAGCACCCCCCCCCTTCCTGCTTCTCCTTGCCCCCTTCAGCCCCCACAACGCTGTGAGCACAGATGGAGAGCAGGCAGGGCTTTTGTGAGGAGGAACCGCCAGACCATTATAGCCATGTGTGTTACTGGAGCAGCACAACCACGCAGAAACCAAGTGGGAACCCCATGTGGCGATTAAGCCTCTTCCCCACCTGGTGTGTGAAAAGCGTTTCCAAAGCGATGATGTCATTGTGGAGTGAAGCACAAATCTGCAAGTTGGTTTCCTTGCCTTTCTGTGGCATAGGAGGGGCCAGTGCCCGTGTTCTGTCTACATTGCCCACACTAGCTTGGCAGATTTTTAAGAAGAAAACATTGCCCCGGTTCATGCCAAGTAAGTCCCGACTTGGCTGAAGTGTTTCTGTGGAAGGCACCCTCCAGACCAGCTTTCCATGATCTGGCATCCTTCCGGCATTTAGTACTAGTAGCGACTGGTCCATGGCGTGTTTGTGACCTTTCTCTTGGATGGAGACAGGCTGGAGATGCCGCCTCTGGTGCGTTGTTGTAATGCAGCCCCTGCCTGGGGCAGACTTGCATGTAGTCCGGTCTGCCAGGGGCTAAGAAACTGGAGGCAGGTGTTAGAGCAAATCAAGCACTTGTGCAGCTGGAAAGGAGCTGACCCTCTCACATTTGGGGTTTAGTCCTGTAGTGTTTAGCTCTTACAGTGGTTAAAACAGCAGCAATGAACCAATTTACAATAATTTATGCTTGGAGTGCAATTCCACTGGTTAAATATTTAAGATGAAGAGGTTTTGGATTTTTAAACAGGCTATTTTCAGGTACTAATGCTATTGCATCCTATAGAAACTGGTCAGTCGTATTTTTCCAGTTAGGGGACAGAATTAAATTTGAGTCCTTCGATCCAGTTTTTGCAGCTGCTTGCCTAACAGGAACAGGAAATGCAATTTTAGTTCACATCCAGTGTATTTATTTTGGTCTCTCAGAGCAGAAAACAGCAAGCAGAAGGCATATCTTGGATGTAGCCGCAGCATTCAAAATCTGCTGTCTAAGGGGGATCCATGTGAAAATTGGCGCCTCCTGGGATGCAGGGGCCAGTTTCTCTGGAGTGGCTTGTTACAATCCTCACTTCCCTTGTTTCTGTTGCATTGATGGAAGAGTAAAGAACTTGAGCCTCCCCTTAGATCTACATTTCATAAAACCGACATCAAGCCAATAATTGTGAGGAATTGATTCCTTGGAGCAATGCTTCGCACTGCGTTTTCAGCACACGACGCGTGTCTTTTCCAAGAAGAAAAGAGACAATCATTTCCATACGGCTGCATGTCGCCCAGTTCCTCTAAGCCTGCATGTGGGGTGTTGCCACAGCGCTGCTCCTCTGAGGGGCTCGTGGTTTGGCAGCGGAGCACCCCAGGAGATTCTGGGATCCCAGCATGATCCAGCTGGCATGGAGTCCACTGTATTCCCCCTGCTAATGCGTGGACAGACTGTTCCTTCCTCTTTCCACTTGCAATGCAGGTTGGTAATATGGCTGGATGTCACATCCACTGCCCATGGTGTGGTTTTGTGGAAAGATGCTAGGGATCAGTCAAGTAATTTAATGAAAGCAAAAGCTGCTTGGGGCTGGGCCACACACCCGGAGCAGCAAGGCCTCCTGATGTCGTGAGTGGAGCCGGCTGGTGCCGGAGGTCAGACTAGATGGCCCGGGAGACCCCTTCTGACTCGCTCTGCTTCTGTGCATTTAGAGGAGCTGGTTTCATGCCTTGCTGCCTCGGTCCGACCTCGTGGTGGGATTGAGCATGCGCAGTTGGATTGCCTAGTAGATGCAAGCCACTTCTTGCCTGCATTGCCGGCTGCAGTTGCGTGTTCAGGGAAGGGCCGTTTCTCACCAGAAACAAAGCACAGCGAGCAGAGCAGGGCCATGCATGTGCCTTAAGGCTGAAGCTCAGCAGTCTTCTCTTGGTCTTTACTTATTGCTTCAAGGCAAAGCTTGGACTTGAGAAGCCACCATCCACATTCTCCTTCAGGTCGCTATGCATCCAGGTGCCACTCCTAAATGCTGATTGCTGTAACCTTTATATCTTTCCTAGATTATTCCTCGGCTGTACAGAAATTCTCCCAGACCCTTCAGTCCTTTCAGTTTGACTTTATCGGGGACACTCTGACAGATGATGAGATTAATATTGGTGAGTGCTTCCTTGGTGTGCTTTTGGCCATCTGCTACTGGAAAATTGGCCCGGGTTCTGATTGTGTGGAATTTCTTTCTCACTGGGGAATATCCCTTATTAAAAACTATGCACGTAGTTGTAGCACCCCCCAAGTTACCTTAGGATAAAGCAATGTGCAAGCCTGCCTTTGGGAAAAGTTTGGCCACTACAGTTCTTGCAGAAAAACAATGGTGTAGGGCCACGCTCTGGCTTATACGTGGCTTTTTGTAACCTGTAGGGTGGCCTGTTTGTAGCTCATAAATAGCACCTGGAATTGCAGCTCTGTTCTTGAGGATTATCCTGTGCTTGATGTGGAATCCTGCCCCTACAGAGCATGCCTGGACACAGAAATGGAAGATGGGTGTGATGATCCATGGGAAAAGACTAAAATGAAATCTGAGGCCAAACCAGAATGTCACAAATGGTGGTGCAAGATTCTGAGCACTCCAGAGCTTTTCTTCAGGCTCAGATGCCCAAAAACCAGGGTGGAGGAAGAACCCCCCAAAATCTCATGGCTACAACTTCTGGCCTATTTCTGTAAAAACATTTTTGGCCTAATGTCTGGCTTCCGATGCCAGGATCTTGATGCTGAAGCCGGCTTGCGATGGGAGTGGAAGAGGAGGCATGAGCACCTACGCGGGGGAGGCAGCATAGGGCCTCTTGACTGGCCGTTCCACACGGCCATCATGATGAGCAGCCCTTTGTGGCTTTTCCTCCATTGAAAAGCCGTCAAGGCTGGAGCTCCTCAGTGCAGCAGGTGGCATACATTGAGTGTTGTCCCTTGGCACCTTCCTTCTTCCCACCACATTTTTATGGTCAAACTCTTAATTGGTGAGAATTAAACTTTCCACCCTGCAATATGTGCACAGACTAGCATCGGTTTCAGGGGTTTCCAGGTTCGTGTCTCTCATGTTTTCTTGGTTCTGCTGCTCGTGGTTCACCCTAGCAGTGGTTCCAGAAACAAAGAATTCATTGGCTTGGCAGGAAAGTCATCTTAATGGAACCCAGACGAGGAACGCGAAGAACCTGAGAGTGCATCCTTTAAAAAAGGCATTTGTGGAATCCATCTGGCCCTTGAACTAACTGCTGTTGCTCAGCCCTACCAGCAGTTGTGGAGGTCAGAAACGGCTGCTGTGGTGACCTCAGGGACTGAGGGTTCTGATTCAGTGAGCTGGGGATTCTTAGCACTCTTGAAAAACTCAGGAAACAGGCAGATAGTAATTGTCTGCTGACATGAGTCAGAGAGAGCATGAACAGGGCCTCAAGCGTGATCCTGAAAAGTCACCGTTGCGCTTCATCTTCTTGTTGATGGCAGGTTGAGAGAGAGCAGTGCTCCCGTCTCCCCTTTCCAGGGGAGGGGCTGGAAGCACCTCTTCCCCACCTGTCTTTCCTGCTCTGGCGGGACCCTGGCCGTCTGCAGCCTTCCCTCCAGCAGTGGAAATGCAGGGATCGTGGCCCAGCTGCCCGGGCAGCCCCAGAGCCGGGCAGAAGACTGGCTGGTTGTCTCTCTGTGGTGCCACGTTTAGGGGCACCCACATGGTGGCTTGCCCGCCTGTATGAACCCAGCGGCTGTGCCCGGGCGTCTGCGGAAAGAGCAGGTCCCTTTGCCCAGCACGGGAGGGCCGCTCAGGTTCCCATGTGCAGTATCCCATGGTGTGGCTTCTCTTCACAGCTTCCATGACTGTGTAAGTATGTCGGGGAGTCATGGCTGGGGAGGAAAGAGTCGCACTTCTCTGTCACTCAGTTTCAGTAAGGAAAAGGCCCCGGCGTGGTGACATGCTGTGCCCAAAAAGCGACGTGTGGGTTGATCTGCTTCTGGTCGTTGTTGAGTGACTTCCCATGCCCACAGCATGGTGAAGATCTATCCCAGTGCAAAGTTATGATGACAAACGCCACTATATGCATTTAGAATGCTGAAGGTGTTCCATGAATTGTGGCAGGTAATGATTATTGAGGGACTGAATTGACATCTCTTCGGGTGTTTCCAGTGAGGGCTTCCTGGACTCCAGATCTCCAAGTTTCCCAATTGCACTTCTCCTTGTGTTTCTTCTGCTTTCTTCTTCTTCTTTTCACCTGGTGCAGAAAATCTGTCAAGGCGGAAGAGTCCAAAGGTCAGTGCTAAAAGCCCTGCCTGGACACATCCTTGGAGTCAGCTCTGAGTAACCGATTCCCCTTCTCTCCTCTGCAGCTGAATCCTTCAAGGAGTTTGCAGAGCTGCTCCAAGAGGTGGAACTAGAGAGATCCATGATGGTAAGAGCACCTCCCCTTCCTCAGCAGCCTCAGGTGTGTTGAGGACTGCAGGTGAAGACCAACTCTCATTGGGGTGGGGGATGCTTCAGTGCAGGGGGGCAACCCACGTGGTCTGCCTATTTTTCTCCCTCTTATGTCCAAAGCACTGGCAGCAGCAGAGAGATGCATTTCCCTCCTAAACAAGACCCACTGTATTCTACGGTAATCTCAGTTCTTCTGGGAATCCAATTTACCTGTAAAGCAAGCCACACACTCACTTCGTGCCTGTTTTAAAAGAGAAATGCAGCTTCTTAGCTGCCTCGCCTCCACAATTCAGCAGTAATTCAGTAGGGTACTAGTGGCAGTTGTGGCGGTGAAGGGATGGTCCCTTGGCCTTACAAAGTTGCCCGTGCCTCCTTCACCTTCAGGCCAAGCTTGTGAATTGTGGTAGGAAGCACCACCATCTTGAGCCAGTGGCTGTGTGGAAGGTGGACAGGGGAGCGCAACGTGCAGCGTTCTCGCCCGTAACGCCACCGTGACTTTCAGTTTCTCGTGGGAACCAGGGCACCCTCCCACCGTTTCTCCTCAAGTGGAGCATTCTGGGTACTGCCACGGCATGGCCGATAACAAGGCTACCAGGCTCCATGTCTTTGTCCGCATCTTGAAAAGAAGCTCCTGCTAGGCCAGCTGCTCCAGCTTGTATTTTGCCAGGACTGTGTGACGGACTGATTGGCAGTGTGTGCACACAGCCAAGCAGGATGAGAAGCTCGGGTGGATTTATGACCATGAGGCAGTCCTGAGTGGAAGACGGGGCTCCTGCCTGGGGGTCCCATGCAGCCGGCAGTGTGCCTGACCTGGAGTGTTGCGCTAGGACATGACGGTCCCCTGAGCCATTGGCCACTGCTGCGTGCGTGCGGCATGCTGTGCCCCCTTTTAGCAGGCCTGCGCTCCGTGGGAGGCGGCATGCAGGAGGCTGCTTCGCGCACCTGAGGACTGCCAGTCCTGAGTGGCGATTGCTCCTGTGACTGGGCCACTGCAGAGTGAATGCCACGCATGCAAAGCCTTCACGGTTGTCTGGAAAGGCAACTTCTCGAGTTCATGTAGTCAAAGGTACAATGATCCAGTGATACACATACCTAGAATCATGCAATCATAGGACAGCAGAGTCGGAAGGGTCCAGAGAGCCACTGGGTCCAACCCGCAGCTCAGTGCTGGACCCCAGGTCAAACCATCCTTCTCAGTTGCATCTTGAATGCCTCCAGTGTGGGGGAATCCGCAAGCTCCCTCGGTAATTGGTTTCTTTGTCTAATAGTCAGGAAATTTCTCCTGATATCTAGCCAGAATGTGGCTTCCTGTCACTCGAGCCCCTTATTCTGTGTCCTGCTCTCTGGAATGATCAAGAAGAGATCCTGTCCTTTTATCTGTTTAAAAAACAATGGTCCATGACTCTTTGAGTCCAGGGGACTTAGGCTTCTTGGGTTCAGGACTGAGCTGAGTGGGAAAGAAACCTCACAATCAGTGTAAATTTCAAAGAGTCTAGGAAAACATTTCCTGTGTTTCAAGGCTAGCTGTTGTTACATGCTGTGAAGCCGCCCTCCACTTACGCTGACCCCGCGAACGAATGCTGTCCCAGACATCCTGTCTTCGACCGCCGTGCTCTGTTCTTGTAAACTCCCAGCCGTGCCTCCCTTGATGGAATCGACCCCTCGCATCTCTGGTATTCCCCTTCTTCCTCGGCCTTCGACTTTCCCTGGCAGGATTGTCTTCTCCAGGGAGTCTCGCCCTTGTGAAGGCAGTTGATTTTTTTGACACCTCAGAACTGCTTGACACACGCGAGGCTCCTGAGAGCACTTCTGCACACTGCTGCTCTGATCCCTTTGCAAGAAGAGGGCAGCTGGACTGGAGAGGGCAGCCCAGAGCGCTGCTGTGAGTCCCAGCTTTCAAATGAGTTTTCAGAATGAGCCTGAAGTGCCATTGTTCAAATGTGAAAAGATGCCTAAAGATTTACAAATAAATCCTTGTTCTACGCCTGAGAAATGTTGCTGCTTTATTCCTTTTCCTAAATGTTTTTCTGTAGGTGCAAAATGCTAGTGATTTGTTGATCAAGCCACTGGAAAATTTCCGTAAGGAACAAATTGGATTCACCAAGGTAAGCTTTTTGTCTCCTCCTTGATTTGTGCTTGAAGAGTTAGTTCCCTGTTACATGTTGATGGCATGGCTGACAAACTGGTAACATTTATTTTGGGCACTTATGCTCCATACCTTTGCTGATATTGTGGTTGTCATCATCATTAGCATTTCTCAGAAAAGACTCAAGGAGCTGTAGCTTCCCATGTCCTTCAAACTGGGAATTGTAGTCATATTTAAATATGGCTTGTTTCAACATGCCAACATCAGAAATCACAGTTAAAATTAACCATAGTTAAAGTAATCCACAGTTTCTTGTGCTAGATGACACAATGTACTGTGCCTAAGGAAAAGAAACACTTCCAAGCTCCTTCTCCCATTTCTGCAAGGAGAGAAGAGGGAGACGGGGATTGCATGGGCCAGAGACTGTCAGTGGCCATCTCGGCTTGTGCTTGTTGGCCTAAATCATGGTCTGGCATGCCAAGCAAACAAGATGAAAATTACAACTTTCAAACTGATTCAAAAGAAAAGACAACCAGGGCCAGGTTTCTTTGTAAACACTATATGCTGAAGAACAGTCCCTTTCTATGGATGGAAAAAATTATTTCTCCCTTACTCAGTGTCAAAAGCATCAAGGTTCCGCATTAGTCAGCAGGCATTTCTCAAGGTTCTGGCACCAGCCCAGCTCCGAAATGGAGACCTCTTGGAGAATGTCCAGCTTTGGATCTGGCCCAGCCCATCTGGAGCACTTGACATTTAAGCAACACTACGCTGCAGACAATAAAGCTGAGCATTCGGCCTCCCTCCCCATTCCACACCCGATGTGCCTTTTTAAAACAAATGCCGCAGTGCAAAAAAGGAGGAGACTGCTGGCCGAGGGCTCCGGAGAGGGTTTGAGGGTGCTCTCCACCTCCTCCAAAGGCAGCCTCCACCAGCACACAAGCGGGGCCCTCTGGGGAGCAGCAGATGTGCCTGTCATGGTGGGTTGTTCTCCAGTGGGGCAGCTCTTGCCTCTCCCCCAGTGATCTTGCTGATTTGCAGCTGATTTCACCCCACGGCTGGTGCAGTGTACCCTTCCCGGAATGAACTCTGGCCTGCCTGCATGAGGCCTCTCTCCTCGCCAGGAACTGGCTTTTATAGCGGCTGAGCCCTTCCTTGCAGTAGCAATAAAGGAGCTCAGAGCAGACATGAGGCACTCTCTGGTTTAATTAGCAGCAGGGACGGGGCTTCTGCAGTCCACAGCCAGATGCTGCCCTGGCCTTCCCTGTCTGGCCACGCGCCTTTTTTGCTGTTACCTCCAATCAGTGATCAGAGATAAGAAGGAATTTAGAGGCCACTAACCTTTAAAGAAAGTCTGGATCAAATTCACCTTGATGGGGTTCAGGCTGTTCTGTACCCCCAGCCAGATCATTCCTGCATGCACTGATCCCATGACCTACTTAATTCTGTGTTAGAATCAATTGAATATAGTGATGCTTGTATTCGTAATTGTGCTGACTTTATTTCTGTTTGGAGTTCATTGCTTCTGGTGCCTCAAACGTGCAGGCTTAGTTTTAATTTGTTCTGTGCTTAAGCGGCTCACCTTCAGTACATTTTAGCACTGTTGTCTCATTTCCTTTATATCCCACCTTTCTCCCTCTTGCGAGGAACCAGGGGCATTCCATTTTAGGTCTCCTGTCTAGTTTATGTAGAATAAGTTTGTGAATATGATACACCTATGAGATACGGATTTCTTCCCCTCCTTGATGGGGTTTCCAGAGTTTTTAATTAATTATGGGTTAATTAAAAGGGTTTAAAACCCTTAAAAGGGTTCCTTCACCATATCAGCCTGCCTGCGGCCACATTCGCTCTTCTGGCCCTCACACCAACTCCTGCAGGGGAGCTGTTTTCTTGGGAGGTGCAGTGCTCAGTTCCATCATTTTTCAGAAGGAGATAATCAGGAAATGCCAGGAGAATTTTTAAAAAAATCTCTAGCTGCTGCTGCTGCTCCGCTTCCAGGCCAGGCTGCCCCTGTTCTCACCTCTTAGATCGGTTTGGACTGAGGGTGCTAGATCAGTGCCCAGGGTGGCTTGGCACCCTTCCAGGGCCTGCCGTTCAGGGGCGGAGAGCAGGCATGGGCAGCTGGCGCCCTTCTGGTGGCCTGCCTGCAGCGCCTTCCCGATGTGTGGTCCTGCGGATGTCCAGGGAGCACAGCTCCCGCCCTCCCGGCCGGGGCTGACTGGGGTCAAACAAGCAGGGAGGAGGGTGTCAAGGGCCCGGCCAGGGGCGCACGGAAGAGGTGGGCCTGGGGAAGGGAGCAGAAGGAGGGCGCAGAGGGAGGGCTTTCCCAGCGTGGAAGTGCTCCACATCGGATGGGCCAGCACTAGTTTTATCCCCATTCAGAAACAGCCCAGATTTGTTTTTATCCCTTTCAGACAGATGCTGCCTAAACAAGACATGGATTCCTTTGGCAGCGGTTAATTCTGGCTCGGTTCATTGCCCAGAGACCTGCACACTCAGTCCTTGGCCGCCCGAGTCCTTTTCCTCTTCCCAGAGAGCTGGTAATTTGTGATGTTCGGCTGCAGATGTTGTTGGACAGCAGCTCCCCTTATCACGGGCTCTACTGGCTGGGGCTGATGGGAGGTGCAGTCCAGCACCACTGTGCCAAGAATCCGCCCATTAACCAGTGCTATTTTCGCAGCCTTTAACTGGGTGGCTTAATGGCTTCCAGACTAAGTATCAACAGCAGAAGTAAACACACAAAGACAAGGAATATTATAAGACCAAAGCGATAAAGCAGCAGCAGCTGATAGTGGCTGTATTACTGCCGCTCAACACCCTTGAGGATAGCGCTGCGAGGGGAGAGCTCAGCGCTTCTCTGCAGCTCGCCACCAAACGCCCCCTCTCGGCCGGCCGCCTCCCTGATCCCCAAAGGGGAGGCCGCTCGGAGAGACCGAAGGAGCAAGCACAGGCGTCGTGGGGTAGCAGAGAGGCCCCCTGGAGGACCCTGCCTGGTTAAGGGCCCAGGTGCGTTAAGGACAGAGGTGCGTGGGCGCAGCGGAGTGAACACGGGCGGGCAGTGCCGGTCTGGAGCGTCCCATGAAGTGAGCGGTGAGCAGCCGGGGGCACGCAAAGGAAGGCCTTCATCACTCAGAGCGACGCCACAGAACTTGCGAGCCTGAGAGGGGCCACGGCCGCGAAAGAAGGAGGCTTCGAAAGCTGGCGCGAGACGTTCCTGGGGCGGGACCCTGCTCGCGGCCACGTGGCCACCCGTTGCTCCACCCTTGGGGCGGCTCTGGCGATCCTCCCTGTAGAATTCCTGCGCCAGCGTGGTGCGTGTGCATGTGGGCGCCTGCAGGCATGTGCGTGCACCCATGGATACGGCAGCGTAGCCCTGAACACACACACTCCCCCCCCCCTTGTGAGGCTTTGGGTTGCGGTTTGGCCACAGGCTCTGTTTTGAAGGCTTTGCTTTGTTGGGGATTCTTGTTCACTGTCAGTCCTTCCGCAGAAGGATTTTCAGTACAGAGGGCGGCCAGTTCCGCCTTTTCCCTGCCTTGCTTCCTTTTCTGGCTGGCTGGTCCTTGCTGGCACGGAGAGTGTTTGGGGTGCTGCAGTTACGCAGGGGGGCGGGGGGCTGTGTGCTGCACGCACGGCTAATTTCAGCCCTTTTGCCGCAGAGGCAGGGCTCCCCACGAACTGCCTCCTGCATGGTTTGCCTGCCTGCGCGGTGCTTCCCTGCTTGTGCCAAGAACCGAAGAGGCATGGCATGAGGCCGGTGGTGTGGTGCAGGGTGTCGAATGCTGGGCTGGGGTTTAGATGGGCCCTGACTTGGCCGTGAGCTTCCTGGGCATCGTATCGTTTTTCTCCGCAAAGTGGCTGTGAGCCTTGGCATATTGGCTTCCAGACCTTCTTGGCAGATGGAAACAGTCCAAGCAGAACCAGGGCTTGGCTCTGGGACTGGGCTGACGAATCCCACTTGAGCTCAGACACTGGGAAACTACCTCCTTGCTGGCTCCTCCATGTTGGAGCACGACGGCTTGCCTGCCTCCTTTGACACCTGAGGTTCTGCAGGTCCGGCACTCTGGAACCTCAACAACTCTTCTTAAGATTAAGCACTGCTCACAACAGACTCCTGCTCACAACAAATCCACCATCTTTAGGAACGGAAGAAGAAGTTTGAGAAGGACGGGGAGAGGTTTTACTCCATGCTGGATCGCCATTTGAATTTATCTTCAAAGAAAAAGGAATCTCAGTTGCAAGAGGTAAGCGGAGAGGCCTTGGGAGGGAAAATCCCAGTGCTAAAGGGCTCACTGGGCCGGGCTGAGCCATTCTCGCCCGTCTGCTCAGTCTGATGAACGGGTGAGCTGTGTGATCTGCTTACGGGGGGATGTGGCTGGCTCCAGCCCAGCGTATGCATCAGCTCAGATAACTCTGCTCATGTCACTTAACACAGCGATAGAAGAGATGTTGGCTTGCTGTAGGTTCCAGCTGGAGTTCCAGGCTCTCCATTCAAACGGCCGCTCTGCTGCACGGCCTTTGCTTGGGGCATCACTGCCAAATGGCGCATATTGTGCCAGTCCATCCAGTGCTAGATTAGACTCAACTGGACTGGTCTGCGTGGCTCTGGTAGCCCTCCCTCCCTTCCAAAGGTTGCTGCAGGCAAGCTCCTAGCAGTGGCACGCCAGGGCAGAAAAGCAGCGGGTAGGAAGAACAGGTTGTGGAAGAGCAGGGAAGGGGGCAGGCTCCCCCCAAGCTCAAAAGGCCAGCCCCTTCACGGCATCCTCCCTTCTGATCTGCCAAGGGAGGGAGGCCTCCCGGGACTGCAAGGCTACGGCAGCCAGAGGGAAGGAACAGACTCCCGTGACGGTAGATGATGGCTGTTGGGACACTGCTAAAGAGCTGGGAAACTGCACAGGAGGGCCAGTATAATGGCCTGGTATGCCCCTCTCTAACACGCCCTCTGGCTGCGCCAAAGCAAGAGCTGGTTTGCTTCCCAGTTTCACAGGCGGTTTCAGTGCGGACAGGGCCTGAGAGGACCGACTGGGCACTGCCCGGTGCCTCAGCCCCCGAGGGGCATCCAATCCGCCCTTGGGTCTCCTGAAGCTGCCCTTCCCTGGAGCAGTGATGCCAGCTGCAGGCTCCATTGGCCCTCTCCCAGGCTTCTCATGTGCGCATCAGCAAAGTATTACTGCTTCCCAGGGAACCGTGTTTCTCTTTGCATGCCATAATGGATATTTTGAGGTTACTATAAGGTGAACATATAAATCTGGCTAATGTCGCTAATACACTTCATTCCTGGGGCAGAGAGACAGGGATGGAAAATACATGCTGGATTGTTTTTCCTCTTTAAAAGAAAAGGGAAAGAATTAAACCACAATGGCTCTCAACAGCTCACTCATTTAGGTCTTCCGTAAATATAACTTCCGTGTATCTGTAACATCCCTCTTCCTTCCTCACACAGGCTGATTTGCAGGTTGATAAAGAGCGGCACATTTTCTTCGAATCGTCCCTGGAATATGTGTATCAGATCCAGGAAGTGCAGGAGAGCAAGAAATTCAGCATTGTGGAACCTGTAAGCCAACCCTTTGCTCCAGTCCCCACCAAAGCCCCTCTCTTCCCTACCTCTGGGTTGGATTGTGATCTGAGCAGCCTCTTCCTGCACTGCCGTTTCCTAAGCAGAGATTTATCTCTTAGAAAATGCAAGCGGCTTGCGCTGTGAGCAATACCAAGGGGCGATATTGCTCCAATACTCCATGGCATAGGACCTATGGATGCAGGAGTTCCCCAGGCATGTTGAAGCATAAAGCTTCCACGGTGTGAGACCAAGGCTTGGGAAGGCATTTCTGCCTTTTGGAATGTGGGAGAAAGCTGCACCAAAGCTGGGAAACCACTGAAGGATCAATGATCCAGGAAAACGGGAGAAGCTGGGAGAAGGGGAGTGGCTGCCCGGAATACCCCACTTGGGCTGGATTTGCGCTGAGGCTCTGCTCCCTTGCTGAGAAGGAATGGTTCCTGGACAACCGCACTGGTGGCTCAGGAGTAGACCTCTCCAGCAGCTGGAGGAAGCCACCTGAAATGTGTTCCGTGCTTGACACTTGTCCAAAATGGAAGAAATATCCAATGTAGTGATTAAGACTATCTGGCAAGTGCCAGCGTACGTTTGGTTGGTTACCAAATGATTTGGCAGACCGGGAGCAGGACAAACCTTGGCCGGGCAGGGCTGACGCTGCTTTCAATCCCCTCCCGGCCCCCTGCCCTCTCCAGGTGCTGGCTTTCCTTCACAGCCTCTTCACCTACAACAACCTGACCGTGGAGCTGACCCAGGACTTCCTTCCATACAAACAGCAGCTGCAGCTCAGCTTGCAAAATGTGAGTTAGCTGCAAATTTATTTATTTATTTAAAACTTTTTTAGACTGTCCCTTACTGTAGTCTCGGGATGGTTTAACAGTAAGACAAAAATAAAAATAAAACAAAACACAGCATCCTAGTCAAACTCTTAATGAGTCAACAATAAAACCCATATTAAAATAACAGTCAAACCTTAAAATATTGGGAAAATAGAAAGGTTTTAGCCTGGCGCCAGAAAAGAACAAAGTGATGGCGCTAGGCGAACCTCTCTGGGGAGTGTATTCCATAATCAGGGCACCACTGCAGAGAAGGCCCTTTTCCGGGTAGCCACCCTCCTAATCGCCTTCAAGGAGGGGTCCCAGATCTGCCCCAGATGCACCATTCTCCCCCCCTCCCATCTCCTTGCACAACAGAAATGCCTTGTGAGCGAGGAATCTTGTAATTCTCCCCACCACTCTATATCTATAGACATATAGCAATATGTCTTTTCTGGTTCTCTCTGATTTGGGTAACAGTGCAGGGGGCCTTCTATGTCACTGGACTGCATTTGCTTGGAACGGCTCTCCTGGGGTTCAGCAGATCTTGAGGCTCCTCCCTTGCCAGCCCTTCACCCGACAGACCCGTCGCCTTCTTCTTTCTGTGCTTATTCTGGGTCACACAAGTTTCTTCTATTTCATAGCTGTTGGGCACCACTGACTGGCTCTGTTTGAGCTGGCTGGATGAGCCTCTCCCTTCAGGAGCCCTCGCCCGGCTGAGGGCCGCCCTGAGGTCCTTCTGCACATACACCGGGCACCTGGTCAGACTTGTTCCCACACGGCCCCTGTTCACAGCGGGGCATCACACAGGGCCTTGGGTTCGGAGGTGCTTGCTTTTGCTCTCCTCGCAAATCCAGGGTCGGTCTTTCTACCCTCCCACAACAGACAAGGAACCACTTCACCAGTACACGTGAAGAGCTGGAAGACCTCAAGAAAAGGATGAAGGAAGCTCCACTGACCTGCAAGCTGCCCGGGAAGCCAACCATTGAGGGGTATCTTTATTCCCAAGAGAAATGTAAGTGCCGCAGAGGTGGCTTCTGGAAATCTCCTCTGCCGGAGGCCAGAGCCCTTCCCCAGACTGGGGATATAGGGTGGCGTGTTTCTCCTCTTTTCCAGCCTGTGGAATGTCATCATGAGCCCCCCAACTCCCCTCCCCACCTTCCTCTGACCAGTGCACTGCTGCAGAGGGTGAAGAAGGCAGGGAGGACCTCAGGGGTCTCTTTCCCCCATCGTCCAGCCGGCCTTGCAATCACCCCTTGGCACCCAGAATGAAATCCAGGCAATGTTTTTGCAGAATACAAAATGCCTCTTTCCTCTTTTAAAGTGACATTATTGCACTTTAAAAAAAAATTAAGAAAAAAAAGATCCAGCTTTCTCCCTACAGAATCATTTCTACCATGGACAGTGTAAAACCCAGCCTTCTCCGTGGAGTTCAGTAGTGTGGGGAGCATAACTTCCCAGCATCTCTGGAAATAAAACTGGGAGCTCAGGGGAATGAAGGGGATCCTGGACAGGGACCTTCTGTCCCTCCGGCTCCACACCTGCTTCCCCATCGTGAGCCCCAGGAGAAGTGTTTTGCCCATGGTGGGTGCAGGGGAGGGCCCACAGCTGGGGCCGTGCACGAGCACAGCAGCTGCTGCCTGCCCCAGAAGGGAGCAGAGGGGGGCGAGAGCGACCCCCGGGAGGCTGGCCCACCGCCTGCGTAAGACTCTCTGCAGCAGGGGCCGCATGTAGACGCGCCATGTCCCTCTCCCACGGCATGGCGTGGGCGTCATCTCTCCCACTCTTGACTTGGTGCAGGGGCACTGGGCATCTCGTGGGTCAAGTACTACTGCCAATATGAGAAGGAGGCCAAGATGCTATGGATGACTCCTGTGGAGCAGAAGCCTGGGGCCAAGCAGGTGAGTGTCTGCAAGCGCTCGCGGAGAGCTGGTTCTGCCTGCGGCCAGGCAGAGCGCGCAGCTTCGGGCACATTGCACTGACTCGCTGCTTGTTGTTCTGGGCTTGCTTGGTGGATTTGACATGCCCAGTCCAGGTTGTCTGGATTCCCCTTCTCAGTCATTTCCAGCTATGCACGTACCTTTCTGCTTCCCTCGGAACGGGCACAAAAGATTTCCTGTTTTCCTTAATGCAATCTGATTTAGCACTGGGATTAAATGCTCACTTCTTTTCCCCACTGGCAGGGACTCATTGGGTTAATGCTACGCCTAGTCTGGGGCTTTGAATACCACTCACTGTTCATGTAGTTACTTAATTGCCCTTGAAATCTCTCTTCCTCAGGGCACCGTGCATTTCATGTTGAAGTCCTGTGTGAGGAGGAAGACCGACTCCATTGACAAAAGATTTTGTTTTGACATTGAGACCATTGAAAGGTGAGTCCGAGCAGCTGGCAGCTGTTTCTGGAACAGCAGCACTGAAAATATCATGGCAACATTTTGCTTTTGCACTGCATTCATCTTGTGATCCTAATGGTTTAAGCATTAGAACTGCTGCAGAATTTCAGAGAAAGATTTCCCAGAAAATTTGGAAATCTTGCTCAGCAGCAAAACACTTCTCGCATTTCCAGCGAAGCTGAAGTAGTAACATTTTCCAGGAGGAAATTTCCCACGCAGTCCAACCCTTTGGAAACCTGAACGGTGCCGCTGGTGAGGCTGATCCCTTGCCAAAAGTTTCCTCTGCCTCCCCACCAGCATTGGCTGAGAGGTTGGGAACTGAGAGTTGCCAGAGGAGCTGGTGGCCTGAGATTTGTATTGCTACTGAGTTAATTCTGCAAACGGTGAAATTGTGGGCTGCTGCTCGGGAATGGTGCATAATGAATTTAGAGATCGTTCCCTCAAAGGTGTGGTTGATGAGCTTTCTTATTTTTGGCTGCACTTTGGACAACCCTAGTTACCAGTTTGTTTTCCATGAGTTTGGAATAGCCTCAATTGGGTTATGAAAACCTTTTAAGGTATTGGTTACTGCTTATTTCCACAAGAGTTGCCACTGCATTGTTTTCTCTTTATCGAGACAGTTTGTCTCCATTCAAGCTATTTCCTCTAATAGAATGAAAACTCACCTTTTGGTCTGCGCATCGCCGTCAATTAAGGTGCCATGACTTTACAAAGAGCAGGAATGCGATCTCAGCATCAGGAGGCTTTCTGTGTATTCTCCCTTTGTTTGGAGGTTTTACTCTTGGCTTTGTAAGAAGGATGGAAATGACCCAGTTTTTCACACTCACCTGTTTCCACTCTGATTACATTCCTCCAGACCTGGGTCCCTCACCTTGCAGGCTCCATCAGAAGCGAACCGGCGGCTCTGGATGGAGGCAATGGATGGGAAGGAGCCGGTATGTATCTGCTGCATGCACAGGAGCAGAGAAAATGTGTGCTCATCAGTCAGACTTTGACAGCTGTTTGCATGCATGTAAAAAATTAATAGAGTACTGATGAGAAACACCAACTTCTTTTAAACAAACAAACACAAAAATCAATGTCCACTGTACGTTTTCTGAATGGACAAAAAATCTATGGACTGCTTACTAGAATTTATTCCCAACTCCATGCACAGGTATTAGGAACTTTGGGTGGCCTCTTATTAATATGATTAATGAGAAGTAAGCCCCATTGAGTTCAGTGGGACTCACTCCCAGGTAAAGGTGTGCAGAATTGCAGCTAGGTCCCACTGAAATCACTATGATTTCCAGGTAAACAGGCGTGGGATCAGACTTAATCTGTTCTTGTTACATGTCTTCAAGTCATCTCTGACTTATGGTGACCCTAGGAATGGAAGCTCCCCTACTGTCTTGGCCTTCACGGCCCTGCTTAGTGCTTGCAAATGCCACAGTCTCAAAACTAAATGTCTATGCAGCACAGAAGAAGAGTTGTGCTGGATTGGCCCTAAGTTCTGTGTAGTTCAGCATTCTCCTCCCCAGAGGAGGAAGCCCCTGGGATGCCCGCACACACGGCCCCAGAGTTCAGCTCCTCGAGGTCCATGCCTTGCAGTGGTGTCTCTCCCCCTGGCTTGGCCCCTCCCCTTCTCTGCCCCCCCACAAGCCTGCTCTGGGGCAGTCTTTCTCTTCTGATCTGTGCATATTTTGCCTGGGTACTTTCCACAGCTATCCAGCCTCCCTGGATTTCCTTCCTTAAAACCTGCTCCAGCAATGCTCACTGTCGCCTTCCCAGAACTGTGTACAGATAGCGCGGAAAAGACTTATTAAGGATGTCAATGGACAATTAAAGCAGCTGCTAGGTACAATGTTTGGGCTGTGGCCAGGAACTTCAAATGCTATCATAACATAGGAAAGGAAGGGCACAGCTTCCAAGAACCTGAGGCATGAGACCAGATCCAGGCTTCATAGAATAACAGTGATGATGGTGGAGGGGGAGCAAACTTCAGCCTGGCTCTTGAGCCTGGAGAACAGGCACTTTGCTCAATTCCGCATTGGTCACATGCACACTTCTCGTTGTGCGCCAGTGAGGAAGGCCAGCAAGTCAAAATACAGGCAGTGGGGCTGTTCACTTCTGCTCTTAGGGGGTTGTGTTTGTTAATTTGCAGAACGATAAAGGTGTGTTTCATTACTTCTGCATACATAGTACAGCTTTTACTAGATGCTTCACATTTTCAAAGGATGTATTTAACAGTATATTGTCACTGTTGATAAACTAAATCTGTGGAATTTCATTCCCTAGTTCCCAAGTATGGTGTAGCCGTTTTGTTAGGGTTTATTTCCCTGAATCAGGGTTTGGTGTTCTTTTTCTGATCTCAGAAAAAAATAGATTTCCTTGAATTTCCCCATGGAGATTATTCTAGATTTGTGTGGTTTTCCAGAAACATTCTCAGACTGAACCTTCTATGGCTGAAATACCCCACCTCAGTTTGGAGTGAGCTTCATATGGGAAGCCATATTTCCCAAATGACCCGCATTCTAACTTGGCTTGCTTCTTTTGTTCCTGACTTGTGCAATGCACTTCATGATGCTGCAGGTGAAATGCAGCAATGCCTTTCAGTTCGTCTTTGTCCAGGTCTGCTTGGGAGGAGTGGGAGAGCGCCCGCCACAGCACACACCCGGTGCCTCCACTCTGGTTTGGTGACAGCCTGGCAAAGGGGTTTCCTGCCCTCCTGCCTCTGCCTTCTGTTTCGCCTCTTGCCAAGACTGTGTAGCTGGGCTCAGTGGGATTGTCACAGAGAGAGGATGCTTCAATGCTTCGATGCAAAAAGCAGTCCAAGCCCCAGTCCGGAACGTGGTCAGCCCAGCTCAGCACCCCGTGCCAGCTGCAATCCAGAGGGAATCCTTGAGCTGTTTGTGCCCAAAGGAACCATTTTTAACAAGGCGCACTCTGAGAGAGAAGATTTTCAGTACTCTGGATTGGGGGTTCACTGCTATTTTTGCTTCCGAATATAGTGGGCAGTTAAGGATGCTGTTTAAAAAGTGCACGTATTGTGCTGTGTAGTCTTGCCCTAAGACAGTTTACACAAATTAAAACGAGCATAGTTTAAATGTTTCACCTGTGATCCCGTTTTTAGTCTTTCGTGCTTCACCCGGTCTGTCATTTTCTGTTGTCCACCATTTGGTCTTGCTTTGCTGCTCCCTCTTTGCCTTTCAGATCTACCACAGTCCCATCACAAAGCAGGAAGAAAGTGAGTAGACCTTGTTTCTGTTTGGCGAGCTTCACCTAATCAACGCATCGGTGCGTGTTGTTGCGTCAAAGCCATGCTGAGTGCTGCTCTCTGCTGGTTATCGCGCGTATGGCAACAGCTCGACCTGTCCATTCAGGTGCTCCAAAACAGGGATGAGCACATCGTAACCTGCCCAGATGTTTTGCCTTGCCCCTCTGCTGGCCAGGTGGGAAGTGTAGGCCAAAACATCTGGAAGGCTGATTTAAGCTAAAATGAGAGGTGGGGAGGATTGGCCTGAAGGAGCACATCCCTGTAACATCAGGCAGGTGAGTCAGAAGTGCCTGAAGAACGACCTAGAACATGGCTGCACCTGGATCTTGCAGGAATATGCCTCCGCGATAGAAGGACAAACACAGAAAGAATACAGGTCATGTTTAAAATCCACAGCTTAGCATCAGAACAAACAAAGGGGAAACAGTGATGCGTTTGTCTGGATTATTTAATGAACACGTCAGTTCTACAGCCACAGTTCTGGCCACAAAATACCAGCAGTTCCTCTGTGCGGAAGGGCAGCAAAACAACGCATAATTACTAAGCTCACCATGCTGCAGAGTAGAAGAGCAGAATAGGTTGCCAGTGGCAAGCGCAGAGTCGCGCTTGGGCTGCCTTGGATCAGGTTCACACTGCTGTCCGTCCAGCTTGGATTTGGCTGATCCTGATCTCAGCTGCGGAAGGTCCTCCCTGTGACCTGATCCTCTAAGTGGGAGATGCTGGCTAGACCGGGCAAAGGCTGAGCTGCCCCACCAGCTCCAGTCTCTCTCCTCCTTTATTTGAAAGGCTCCGCTGGCGAAAAGTACGCACAAACCAGCACAGCTGGAGAAGTGCCGGAAGAGATGCTTTCTCCACGCTGGGGTGCATTTGGGGGCAAGCATTGCTGCGCGAGTCCTCTGTTGGCAGGAATTGCGCTTCTTGCATGATGACCCTCGAAATGACGAAGCTGTGAAGTTCCCGGGTGGCTTTGGGCCAGTCACAGACCCTCACCCAAGCCCACCTCACAGGATAGTTGCTGTGAGGATAAAATGGAGAGGAAAGGAACCTTGTGAGCCATCCTGCTCCCCCCCCCGCCCTTTGCAAGATTTAGAGCTTTAATATAGTAATATAACTAAATATGTCATCTTTATCTACCCTTTCCTGCTCTGCCAGCTGCCCACAGATCATCTTTCTCGCTTTTTTGTTTCTTTGTTTAACAGTGGAGCTGAATGAGCTTGGCTTCAGATTTGTCAGGAAATGTATCAACGCTGTAGAAACGAAAGGTAAGTTCTGTCCACAGCATCAGGAAGCAGTTTCTGCCATGGGATTCGAGCAGACTGAATTTTCTTACACAACAGTTTCCACAAGCAGTAAAAGCTTGTAAAAGCCATGTAATGGCTGGAAAAAATCCACCAAAAGACACTTGCAAAGTGTTGCTTGCAGACATATTTTCAGTAACAGAGCAGAGACTGGATTGATGGCTTCATTTAATGGTGAGGCTACATAACAAGACGTCCTTTGGGCTGCCCCGCAAATGAAGAATTCCCCTCGCCCTTCGGCATTTCAGGCCGTACCCTCTTCCTTAGAGGTGCTGTTCTCCAGCTAGAATTTTTTTGGGGGGGCAATTGTAAATGCACCCCAACACTGCAGGATGATTCCAGTTCAAAACTGCATGGGAGTTGCCCCCTGCTGCAGACGGTAGTGACGGTTTTCTCAGTCAGTGCCTGGTCTGTACTTTCCCACCTTGCATTTGCCATTCTTAAAGAATTCCTCTGAAGGTTTGGGAATACGCATCTTCACACAAAATACAGGCGCTAGATATTTATTTGATACACATACTAAGAAAACAGTGAGAACGTTTGGAGAAGGACCGGTCTCATGGAGAGCTTCTGATCCAGACACTTTGTACAGGAGTTCCCAAGGCTTCCATTCCTGAAGTATCCCCACTGCTGCCCTCTTCCCCTGCAGATCTGTCACACACACAGGGAGTTTCTACACACAATGCATGCAATCTCACGCAGAAGAAAAATCTGTGCACGCTTAGGGCCTCTTGTGCTTTGGAGTGTCGAACATCTGGAACAAACCGGCAGGAGACTGAAAATGTACCATTACGGAATAAAATAAAATGGGATGTTCTAATAAAGGCGTTCAAAGAATGCTGTCCCCCCTGGAATGTGTTGCATGCTAAATCTTATTTCCCGGGGAAAATGCAGGCTCTCTTACCCACAGCGTCACCGCTGCAGGGACTATTCCAAAAGCTCACTTTCCTTTCCTTCTGTTTTTCTTTCAAGGGAAGGCACGAGAGGGCGCAGTTGAGCTTTCTGAATGTCTAGTCAGGTTGTTGGCTCTGGTAGGAGTAATTGCTTTGTCTCTTGTTCCTTCCTTTTTGTCCAGGAATTGCAACTGAAGGCGTGTATCGAACGGTTGGCAGCAACATCCAGGTTCAGAAGCTGTTGAATGCTTTCTTTGGTAAGAAAGAGGCATTCCTAATGGAGATCCCGTCAAGATGAAATGGTTTGAGTTGGACAGCAAAGCAGCCCTTGAGAACAATCCCTTGCCCATCTATAACTCCTTCTTATCATTTTCCATCCTTACATACGTCACTCCTTTCTCTCTCTCTTTAAACTCCGCTAAAGGCCCAACCTTTTGCAAAGCTGGACCGAAAAAGGGCTTACAACCCTGCATGCCCTAGCCAACTCTGCAAGCCATTTTTCTGTCCAGATTTAAATAGGATGGCATCCAAATTTGCCTATTTTCAAGAAGTGAACATGAGCATTGTGGGTATAGTAGTTTCTTTGCTGTAAGGTCCAAATAGGATGAATGATGGGCCCAGTTCTCAGAATTACATCGCCCTAAGAGGTGTTCAGATTAATATTAAGGTGTTAATATTGCACTGAAGTCCATCTCTGCTGCTTCTGCTTCTGCCCATTGATGGGTTTCAGAGTTATGTACTTCTCCCTGTTGATCTGATGATCGGAGGACTTGGATGGAAAAAGTCTCATATTGTACTGGTGGACCTACAGATACAAGGACCTCCCAACTTTTATATATCCATAGCAGTGAAAACCAGTCTTTTGCCTTAAATGATTCAGAATAATTTGACATCTGTAGGCCATTTTATACATATCGTCAGCCTCCCAGACACCTTTGGCTATTGCATAGCGCAAAGAGGAGATAATGGTGTTCTAATCATGTTAGCATGATAAAGATAATCACACGAATATATAGAAATGAGCAGGAGTGAGTTCCCTGTTTGTTTAATGAGAGGTCTTTGCATCAGAGATGTTTCCTTGGGAGAGAAGGTGGATAAGCCAACTGGGATTGTGCAGCTGTCTGTCCTTGGTACTCAGCTGGTGACTGAGCTCATCTCGTGTCTGGATGAAGAGGGGTTGATGTCTGCACACGCAGCAGGTCTGAACATGCAAAGTCTGGGAGAAACTGCGCACACATCCATGATTCGGGCTGGGATTCACAGTGATCTGGGTAAATGAGCACGCGAAGGTGAAAGGGAGCAAGCAAACGCGTCTTTCTGTGGCAGGCAGAAAAGGTGACTCTGAAGCACCGTTCATGCATCCCCCCTTACATGTGTCGGAGGGGCAGGGCAGGCCTGGGCTGGGGTGAACAAGGTAGTCCAAGGATGGGCAAGAAGTTCGGATGTCCCGAATCAGGACGGCAAGACCTTTCTGCAGGTGCATCGTTACATGTGTCCCTTGGCAGGGACAGGGCCGGCACCACGCTGGCAGGCAACCATATATGCATATCTTAGTCTTGTGCTGCCACAAAACGTTGCGGTCGCCTGGGTAACCTAAACGCGACAGACACGTGCTCTGCTCTGCCTGCCCTTTGCTCTCCCCTCGGAGGGCTTCTGCTTCTAAGCAAAGAAGGGAACTGTTCCAGGTGCGATTTGGAATGGAGTGGGGAGAAATGCCAAACAGACATTTTAAGTGGAGTGTGGAACAGTGTTTCTGTGAGGTTTTCTCGGCCTGATGGCTTTCACCACGGGGTTTCCATTGTTTCACCTCAGAGACTAGTCCTGATCGTCTTGGCCAAGAGTGTTCGTTGCAGCAATCTTCCTCTGCTTGAATTGACAATGATCTCTTCCTGTTTCCGCTCTCAGAGGCACCCAGAAACAATCACTGTCATCAAGAAATTATATACAGCGTTTTTCATGATCAGTTTAACTCCTGCTCATTTCTTTGGGTCCCAGGTGTGACTTCCTTAGTCTGCATCCAACTCTGTCACCATTTTCTAGAAGCAAAATAAAGACCATTTTTTCTCCCAAGGTGCAAAACCTAACAATGAGTTGCTTTTGTCCCTGTCAATGGTTCATCGGATTTTTCTATTTTTAATATAATCCAGGCAATGACCCATCACCCCATATTTAGGGAGCTGTTCTATCATAGATTTGAATGAGAACACCAAACAAAACTTTGTTTTGAAATTTATATGTTCAGCAAATACTGAACATATAAATTCACTGACCAGATAAATCCTTGTGGGGAACATGCAAAGGGTGGGGAAAGAAGGGAAAAAGAAGGAAAGAGATAAGGAAAGCAAAACAGTCTTTCTCCTCCCTCCCTCCCTCCCTCCCTTCTAAATGGTCTGTTTAGAAGAAACCCCTTGTTGGATTCAAGCTTAGACAAAATGTAGAATGTTGTTTGTCTAATGCTTAAAGAACTTTTCAAACAAATCTGCACTGCATCTGTCCATCACTTCAAGTGCTACTATTTTACAAATATGCCCAGCAGATTTTAGGAACAGATTAATAAGGAGCAACTTCTCTCTTCTCCCCTATTCTTTCTCAAGACCCCAAGTGCCCAGGAGATGTGGATTTCCAAAATAGTGACTGCGACATCAAGACAATTACTAGCTCACTGAAGTTCTACCTCAGGTAATTTTTCACACCTTGTTTAGTTTGTAGTTTCCATGTTCTAAAGCAGATACATCTGACCTACGGTTAACTGCTCATCTGAGGGGAAATGCAGAACTCCTTAAAAGCGAATTGACTGTGCTTCTTCAGCAATATGCCTGCATTACAACCAGCCCCATACTGTCTGCTCCAGTTGGCTTTGGAAGCGTGTGTAGCCCTGCTCTGTGTTGCCTCTGGATGGCGATGCCGAGGAGCAGCCTTTGGACCTTCTGTGGGGAGAGCAGGTGCTGTGCGCGCTTAGGTTTTGGAGGCAGAGTAGCTGTGGAGGACGGGAAAGCCTGGAGGAATGTTGTCCATGGGGTCGTGATGGATCAGGCATGACTGTGCGACTAACAACAACAACAGGATGGAAGACAAGGCTCTTCCGAGATGTGCATTTGGATTGCCTGGTTGAAAGACTGCATGATAGCCACTATCCCACACTGCCAGGTGCATCTTTTGCACAAGCTTCTTTCTGTTTTTAGGGAAACAGATGTCCATGGCTTTAGGTTTTAGGTGCATGTGTGAAAAAGCCCCCATCGTACTAATCCACAGTTTTTGCCAATAAAAGATGGCCTGCATACAGTTAAAAGTCCCACGTGTTTCATAGTTTATTCTTCTGCTTCTCTTGTCAAGGTACAAACCTGTTTTATTTTCTGGGGTTACATCAGGACTAGAGGATCTTTTAAAAATGTTCTGAAATGCTCAGGAGACCAAAGTCTGTGGTTCTAGGAAATGTTTTTGCCAAGGTTGCCAGCTCCAAGCTCAGGGAGCTTTTGGGCTTTTAGGACCAGCATCACTTCTGTGCGTTGGAGCAAATGGGGAATCCGGAGGCTCATCGCAAGATTGACCCTGCCACACCTTTGGCAGGCTGGCCTTGCGGAACAGGAGCTTCTGGCCTCCAAGAAGCCCGGCTCCATCTGGATGCCCTTGCACAGTGACTGCTAAACAATGCCATGACTTGGAAATCCCGATCTACTCATGGCCTACTAGTAATTGTGGCGGTCGCTGGATGGAGAAGCGGTATGGATGTCTCCCAGGATGGGTCAGTCCCGCCCAACCAAGAGTGCAAGACGCTTCCATCTTCTCTTTAAATGGGATACTGTTTAGAAAAATGAAATAAAACCTTCACCAGATCCCAGGGGAAACTGTGGTGTCATTCACAGAGCTGGCTGTAGGCAGACGGCCAATCTTTCTGGAATTAATTTAGGCAACAAGTGAGATATTTAACACAAACAAAGACCAATGCTTCCAGACTAATTGAGAAGATGAAGAAACTTGTACCTCACCTTTGCTTTGGTTTTGCTTCCCTTTGCAGGAACCTCTCTGAACCTGTTATGACATATAAACTTCACAAGGAGTTGGTCTCGGCTGCCAGTAAGTGCCAGGGAGAAACAGGGCAGCTGTGGCCAGGGGAGCCCCTGAAGGCTCTTTGTCACGCAGATGGCAGCTGCATGAGATTCTGGCCTGGGGCAGTGGGCACCGGCTGCCCTCCGAGGCTCCCTGCCGGGAGGGGAGTGGGATGCCTGGCGACAAGCAGCTTCACGTTTTGTGGCTCTTCCTCTTCAGCAGCCATGGTAGGGGTGATCCTGGCTCCTCAGTTAACCACAGTTAACAAAAAAGGAGCTTTTTGTCCTTCTCCGGAGCACTTTGTGCCAATCCACTGTGGTTACACTGCTTATTGCTGCCAATATTAGCCACAGTTAAGACTGTGATGGTTTCCCAGATTCCAATATCTGAAATTCCCGGTGGTTGTAAGTGTGTTTCAGATCCTGGAGTAAGGGAAAATGCGATCAGGCATCTATCACAGCAAGGCTAATGGCTTAATCACAGTTGAGGCAGCTGGAGTAGGCAGCCCCAAAAGTTGCATTGGTCAAGTGTGTATCCGTCCTTTCCAGAGCATGGTACTCACGGCCACACATCGAAAATAATATATATAAAACTTGGCTTTTTTAACTTGGATGTCCTTTTCAGGTATTCCTGCTTCTTCAGGAAATAAGGTCTAAATAAGAACCTGTCCCCTTGTCTGAATCAGGCTCAATTCAGCTGAATCTCCTGCCTGCCCCAACATGGCAGCCGATTGTTATGGTGCTGCTGATGTTCAGTACACAGCTAAACTATATGCAGGGAATTTATAGGCACCATTTTTGTGATGTAAATAGGAGACCTGGGAGGAACCCCGGCAGAACCTGGAATGGGAGATCAAATCATTCCCAGCTCCTTCCCTGTAGTCCAAGCCCAAGTGTCTTCCTGCAAGCTCTCCCTGCTACCCCACTTTATCATTGGGAAAGATGCTCTTTTTGTATTGATGACAGGTTAAAAATTTTGTCTTCTTTGATTGTTTCCCGTCTCCCAATGAAGAATCTGAGAATTTGGACTACAGGCTGGGTGCCATTCATTCTCTCATCTATAAACTCCCTGACAAGAACCGAGAAATGTTGGAAATCCTCATCAGGCACCTTGTGCAGTGAGTTGACGCTGATGTGGTAATGCAGTATCGTACCCTCAGTTTTGGGATTTTATCCTGATTGCTCATCAAATGCGAGCTGATATGTGAGGGTAGCCAGAAGTAGTTGAGGAATAAGCAGAACTCTGCTCCTTCAGAGAGGGTCAACACTCCACCCTTTCTTCATTTCATGTTCTGTGTTTGCAGATGTGGTCCAGGCAGCCTCTTGAGGTGGCAAAACCCATGGAGATAGATAGATAGATAGATAGATAGATAGATAGATAGATAGATAGATAGATAAAAGATTGGCATTTTTAAAGCAACCACTCAAAATGCCAGAGTGTTAGAAGTCTGTGCCCAAAGGCCACCAAGAGCTGCCTGCCTCTGCATGAGGCTCCGGGTTCAAGCTGGGGAGCCTCACCGGCATCCCTCTTCCGCTCTCAGGCTGTTTCCCGTGTGCACCTTGTCTGATCCTTCCTTGCTCTCCCCCCTCTGGCAGCGTGTGCGAACACAGCCGGGAGAACCTGATGTCTCCGTCGAACATGGGGGTGATATTTGGCCCCACCCTCATGCGAGCCCAGGAGGACACCGTGGCGGCCATGATGAACATCAAGTTCCAGAACATCGTGGTGGAGATCCTCATCGAGCACTTCGACAAGGTACTGCCAACATGCCGCCTTTGCTGGATCACTTCTCCAGTAGGGGCTTTCCAGGGTTGGCCAGAACGTAAATAAGGTTCGGGAAAGTGCAATAAACCTTGGTAGATCAGTCAGGCTAGAAGGGATCCAGAGCCCAGGGGCAGGAGACCAGTGCACCGAATGGGAAATGAATCCAGGTGGAGCAATGGAGTCAAGGTAAAGGTGCAGAAGCCATTACCCCCTTGAAATGCAAGGCTCGGAAACGGCAGGTTCTGGGAAGCCAGGACTTGCGCGAGGCACTGACCACTGCTTTGGCAAAGATCAGATGCTCTGCTAATCCTGCTGCTTTCTTTCGCAGAGCTACTGAGGGCCATAAAATATATTTCCCCCACTGCTTTTCACTGGCATAGCAAAGCAGGCTTCAGCTCTAAGGGCTGGATCCAGCCTTGGTCAATTCTTCAAGTAGGCCTTGTTGAAGTCAATGGGACTTAAATCTGCCCACTCCAAAGGTTTGCTAGAGGGGCACTGATTTATCTTTGAGGGATTGTAGAGATAAGATTAACACATTTCAGTGTGGATTTAACATTAACCAGGGAGTTCTCCACAGCTTTAAAAACCAAAATTCCAATTCAAAGGCTCCAGCTTTAAAGAGCTGTTGATTCCCTCCCGAGAGCTGCCCTGTTCATGTCCGCTGGCTCTGCCACTGCTTTTCTTGGCGGGACACCAGATCTGCCGTGCCTGCTTGGGCTGAGCAATTCTGCCCACTCCCTGGAAAAATGCTTGTCCTTTTACCTCTCATTGTGGGAGTTCCGGCCCCTCCTCTGAAGCCGCTCCGGAACAGGTAGAGGCCAGCGACCTGGCTAGGCCTGCCAGGCTTGGAAACAGGTGGCTTTCTTGCCCCTGTGGGCAACAGGGATCCCCCCAGCAGCTCGTAAGTTGGTGCCGAGAGCAGCTACCCGTTGCCTGTGCTGTGGGAGCCCATGGAGGGATGAGAGGTCTTCCTGAAGGAGGTGATTCTGCAGGACTGCTCAACTGGGCCTGACTCGTTTAGTGTGATTGTGGACTCGCTCCTCTCAAAGCCAAGCCAGGAAGGAGAAACATGGCGATGTTGCCCCCATTCCTCTGAATGCCCCCCACAAATCCGCCAGCCCCCCTTCCTACCATGGCACCCCCTTTGGCCTTCCCCAAGCGGCTTCCCCAAGTGCTTTCCATGCGACTGCGTTCGGGTGAGACATGGCCCCGTGTTGGATTCCCACTCTTGAGGTCTTGATGGCGGCTTGCATTGAATTAAAATGTTTCCCAAGAAGATTTACGATAAGCCACGAGTGTCGAAATGAGAGTTCCCCGGCATTGTCGTCGGATGTTCCTCTTCCAGGGCTTTGATTTAACTGTGCGAGAGTCTAGCCAGTGGGGGGCGGGGGGGGGGGGAGCAAGCTATTTCTAATTTCCAAAATCAAGCTTTTTAATTAAAAGAAAGACAATTTCTTTCTGGCCTTTAATTCCTGCAGTGATAAGGTTAAGCTAGTTACACTTTATTAGGTTTGGCGCTTGTAAGTTTGCTTTTGGAGTCTAACATATTTCAGCTCACACATAAGCAAACACTTCAAATGAATTTCAAGCGGACATGATTTATTATTTATGCTCTGAATTATGAAGACTCAAAGGATGGGGAAAATGTTCTGTGACTCGGTGTGGCTAATTACTGCCTTGGGAGCTTTAAACTCAAGCAGTACAGCCAAATTAAAAAGTTGATCCCCTGGAAACAATTCTCAGCCTTTCACAGACTCTGTTTGCAAAGTTTAGATTAGATCAATATTGTTGCACTTACAAATAGTTTAAGTGTGACTTTTATGCCGTTATGTGGTGCAAACCCTGTGGGAACCTGTGTCAGCTTCTTGGAAAGGCTTGGATCATGCTATCTTCTCACTTTAAAAATGGGGGGAAGAGTCCCAGCTATTTGAATTTACGACCTGGGTGCAGCTTAATTCTCAGATGTATCTGTGGCTGCAGACAGTAAACACATTGTAATTCCAAGTCCAGACACTTCACCAAAAAGGCTGTTTTCTGGGGTGTGAAATAGCGTAAAGGGAGCATGCTTGCTACTTTGCATCTTTGTTTGGTTCAACTGCTGATGCAGCCTTTGCTATTTCATGTAATATATTCCCTTTTGTCTCGATATTGGATGGCAGTGAAGGCCAAAGCCCCACCTGGACTCTGAAGATCCTTTCAGCTCCACTTCTGTCCTTGCAGGTCGTGGCATGTGCAGCTTAGTCCTATCCCAGGACTGTCAGCTGAGCTGCCAGCAATTTAACATTTTGAAAAATTGAAGCTTCCACTTTGAGGAGGCAGACTGCTTGGACCACTACTGAATTCTGAACTTTCCAGAGAATCCCGGGAGACTCACAGACTTGAGTTGCAGATCAGTGTTTGGGGGTTGACATGTTCTGGCTGGCATCGGTGGCAAATGAAAAGCGAGGGGGTCTTGTCAGGACCTCCTGCCCTCCCCACGACCTGACGTTGCTCCCCTGAAATGCAGAGGAAGGCATCCCTCTGTCCTCCAGCTATTAATTGGCCCTGGCGAGGGGGATTCTGTCCCAGGGAAACGAAGCCCCCGGCCCTGTTCTAGCTAAGAGCTGGAAGGTGACCAGCTTGCTAAACATGCTGGGCATCCATCTGGCCCAAAGGCGAGCCCACGTTCCTCACTTTCAGCTCCGAGAAGGGAGCTGGGGTTTGGATGCAGACAAAACAGCAAATGGGAGCTGGGCGGTGGGGCTGTCGCTGTCCGGCCAGTCTAAAAGTGAACTCCTGTGCCTGGGCAACTGCCAGGCCGGGGAGCGGGAGGAGGCAGGGCCATCTCGCACGCTCTGAGCTGACGGCAAGCGCGCATCCATTGCCGTCTGGGAAGCAGGACATGGCAGTAAAACAGGGAGACGCTGTCAGTACCAACTTAATCAGTGGAACGAGAGCCACATTTCTTTATGGCACATATTTCGGTCTCTAAACTGAGCCCTGGGGATTAGAAGCCCAGGAATCCCTGCAGCCCATCGTCATGCCTAAATACGCTGGCAGACCTTTGTGAACCACATAAAAACGGATGCTGTGATCTCAGTCCGGCTGTGCCCCGTGACTTCCTTGCCCTCCCCCCACCCCAGCAATCGTGTAAAAATAGTGGGGGAGGGGGTGAAATGCTCTTCTGATGAGATCTGCCTGGGGTGATCTATCTGGAGCACCCCTGGAACGAGGGCTGGAGGCCATCAAGTGGGGCCATCTCCTCCCGCGGGTCGCTCCTCTTGTGCAGGCTTTCTAAGTTGTAAATCACTTTGCGAGAAGGCGGCTATGCCCAAAGAGGCTGTTCCAAAAAGATGGCTGGCTTGGCAGGCAGGGTGGTGGAGCTGCTGCTACATTCAGAGGAACACAGGCCCCAACCTAAAAGTAATCAGGGGACCTGGCGTGCTCCAGTCGCCCGTCGATCTCTTTTTCTTCTCCCGCACTGCTGTCCAAGGTCCTGCTACACGCCGTGCGGCTTCTGGCCAGCTTCTCAAGGGGGGAAAGGGAGAGCTGTTTCTTTGTCATGCTTAGGGCTCTCCGCTCCTCTCCTCCAAAGAGCCTCGGACAGCATGCGTAATCCTCCTCCATTTTTTCTCTTCAACTTGTTGGGTAGATGAGGCTGAGGCTGGCCCAAAGCACCTTCTGAGCTTCATGGCTGACCGGTGAGTAGCATTTAGGTCTTCTGAGTCCCAGTCCAGGACTCTGAATACTGCACTTCACTAGCCCAGTGCCTGGCAGATATGTTGGACCACAACTTCCAGAATCCTCAGCCAGCACAGCCACCTCTGGGCTCAGGGGACCTTGGCTCTGGGCTCCCAATAATCCAATGGGCCACCCAGACAAGGGGGGAGGCCACCTGATGGTGCCCCTGCAGGACCATTTTCATGCATTTTCTGGGGAATCTCTGCATTCGGACATAACACCAAACTGGAATCAACTGTGTTTTCTTTGAAAGTTGAATTTGAATTTGAAAATTCTTGGGAAATGCACGCCATCATTTATCAGGTCTGGATGGAACAGTCACGGTCAGGGGTTGGCAACCTTTAACACTCAAAGAACCTTTTGGACCCGTTTCCCACAGAAAAGAAATCACCGGGAGCTGCAAAACCCTTTTGACATCTACAATGTAGATAACACTGCATATATCATTTTTTACCTTTATGCTATGTATAAAAAAACTATAGTGCATTGCATTTATGAAATCAATGAACTGCTACAGAGAAAACAATTTTTTACTTCTGCATGCAACGAAAACATTTTGAACTCCTAAAAAAAAGGAGTAGATCTATATCTTCATTAAGATTTAGCTGCAGCTCTTGTTCAGTCACTAAAAACTGTTATTTTTAATCTTGCATTATAAACTAGTAGGACTCCTTTCATATATTTTGAATAGGAGAACTGCTTTCTGCAGAGTCAAAGTCAGTGCTAAAGGACTGCATGCATTAAACAGCAAACCCCATAAGTTCATCAGCAGTAAAAGCAAATGAATCTACCCATGTACCATTAAACGTTTGGTTTTCTTCAGAAACTTTTCTTCAATTTATCCATGGTTGGCCTACAGAGGTGTGGGGGTGGAGGGGAAGCTCAGTAAATCGGCGCAGGTCCCAGATCGGCTGTGCCAGAGATATAGGTGTGTTTAGTGACTGATTAGCAGATAAACAGTCAAGTGCTGTGAATTGTGGCAGGTCCCAAGTGCAGCTTTTAACATTCAGATGAAGGAGATGACAGTGGGACAAAGAGAATCTTTTCAGCAGCGTTTGAGCAACATGAGAGCCTGCAGGAAGCTCGTTCCACTCTTTCCCTGCACAATAGCAGAGGAATGTCACAATTTACTTAACCAGCCTCTGTCGCAGTTCGGCCGCTGTGCCAGCGTGTTTTGAATGACGGAGCCGCAGCAGAGGGATTCAAGAGCCACGTGCAGCTCCAGAGTCACAGGTTGCTGATCCCTGGTCATGGTGCTTTGCCAAAATCCAGAAACACATCCTTTGGGTTTCCCCCTTGCAAGCACAGACGAGGAAGGGGTGGAGGGGGTAGGTGAGCCCCCCAGCGCAGCTTTGGCATGCAATTCCAAGCTGCAGTTTGGCATTACAGCTGAACACAGCCAATGGGGCACCTAATTTTGAATTGAAAATGGAAATAAACCCCTTCCAACTATATACTTCAAATTCACAGTCAAGCAGCATCCTGCTCTCTCTCCCTCTCTCACACACACATAATAAGAATGAAAATCAAGTAAGCGTTCTTTTAAAAATCTGCCGCAGAACTTGACCTGGCTTGAAATTTTGCTAATGGCAGCTGACACAGCCGAGAGAGTTCATTGACAGCCGGTATCAGCTCAGTTTCCCTTCGAGAACAGTAAACGTGTTTGTGTGATTCAGCAGAAAACTTTCTCCATATCAAGACCTGCCTTTTTTGTATCCATGCATTGATTGAAGTGCATTAAGACTCATTCTGGTAATTTGTTTAATTTGTTTAGCTATCAGAATGGGTGTGTTTGCTTAGAGATTTCAGAGAGCTGTCAAGCAAAAAGCCCATGCTAAAATAAGAGCAGTCTGCGCAAATGGAGAATTAAAGAAGAATTATGCGCCATCTGCTTTGGGTTCTGATTAAGCAGCGCATTTGCCAGGCTGTCTCTCCTGGGGCTGGTGCCCCTCGGTCTGGCTGGGACACTCTGCCTTTCACAGCTGTGTGAGATGGACAGAAATTCAACTCCCAAAGTGCCTTTTTCACGGCACCCCTGAGCAGCGATTGCTGGGGAACGTTTCTGGCGAATTCCATCTACGAGTTCCTTATTGCTTCCGAGCACATCTTCTCTTAGCTTCAAAACCTATTTCCACCCTGCCTGCCTACTGAAACGTGCAAAAGCTCACCATGCGCTTGCGATTGGGAACAGGGATTCTGCTGAGTTGGTGCTGGACCATGGCAGCCAGGAAGGCTTCAATGAAGCTCCGTGCTCCCGAGTGCTTAACCCTTCTTCCCCCACCAGATATACTCTGGAGCCCCCGAAGACAGTGCTGCGCCACCAGTGCCTCCCCCGCGCGTGGTCACCCGACGGCACAAGCCCATCACCATCTCCAAGCGCCCCCTGAGGGAGCGGCCGGTCTTCTTCGGTGGCTCCGTGGAAGGAACTGGAGGTTAGTTGGGTGGGCTTTGCAGGCACCTGCCCAGCCTCCCCACGTCTTGTCTCAGTGGCATCACAGCTGCACGTTTGCACGGAGAGAGCGGTGGGCAAGGGGAACACAGCTGCTGCGCCTTTGCGAGACAAAAGCTCTGTTATGTGGGAGAAAGAGCGTGTGTCTATATGCAGGCATGGAAATGCAGCTGACCCCTTTGCATCCGCCTGAGCAGCTCTTTGCATCCTAGCTGGAAGCTCATGGTGCATGTTCATTGTTTCTTTCTGATGCCAAGCTCCAAATGAAGCACACTCATCTTAGGAGCAGGGGTTTGACACATTCAAGGCCGCAAAATAATCTGCATCAGTAAATGTGTTTTGAGGAGCACTGGAATGGGTTCGGGTTTATTTAGTCCGGTGCCCTGGGCCCACACCACAAGCAGATGGTGCTTTGCATGAAGTCTCAGCAACCGCCCTTCATGCCTGTGTCCTCTGAGAACCTTACTGGATGACACTGTGGGGATTTCGACGAGAGGCACCCATGACAAAGATGTCCAGGGCAAAGGAAAAAGTCACAGGCTGAGGGATGCCCCTGAAAGCCCCTGGGCTGTGGTGTGAGGGGGAGCAGGTACAGTTTTTTAAAGGAAGTTTGGAGGTGGAATAGAAGGTTCAGCTTCCTCTGCTCCTGTGGGTGGTCACAGTCCAGATCAGGACCCTGCTTACTCCCAAGAAGGCAATTAATTTTTATTTGTATATGTATATTATACATGTATTTTTAGGCGGCCTATAACTGCTGAGGTCTTTCTAGGTGGCTTACAATACATAAAACATAGTAACAAAATAAAGCACATCAAAACCAATTAAAACACTGTGGATTAAAACACCTATGGAAACAATATAAAAAGGGACACAGTGTTCAGGCTAAGTATTTAAAATTTTCCTGAAAAGGTATGTCTTTGCCTGATGCTGAAAGGAAAATAAAGATGGTGCCGGGAGAATTTCCCTGGGGAGGGAGTTCCAAAGATGGGGAGCAGCAGCGGAAAAGGCCCTTTGCTGGTTGCTCCCGTAGAAGTTCTCGTAGAAGGGCCTCCTGAGCTGATCTAAGGGGGCAGGTAGGTATATATGGGTGCAGATGGTCCTTGAACATCATGTCCAGTTTAGCCCTAGCTTTCCAGAGTGACCTGGGGATGCACAGTGTTCTCTTCTGTCATCCACCTTTTGTAGAAAGACAGCTGGGAAAGCTTGGCATTGGCTTGCGCTTGTCTCAGGTCTTCTAATCCGGGATTGCTGTTTGGGTCCCCTCTAGTGGAGGACGGCTACAGCCCCACCCCCAACGGCACGGTCACCTCCGAAGCACCCAAGCCCGTCCTGCGCAGCAGGCTGCCCTTGCAGAAGGCAGGGGACCTCGACCCTGCAAAGGCCAGCTCAGAAAGCAAGCCGGAGCAGTGTTCCGATGTGGATGTGGGGCGCTTGGTGTCCAGACTCCAGGATGGCAGTGCGAGGTTCACCAGCAAAGCTGCAAATGGAGTCACGCCTGTCTCCAGCTCCCTCAAGGCCTCCACTTTGCATGCAAAGAGACTCGCGCCGAGGCCGGGAATCTGTTGCAAGGAAGGTGAGCCTGCTGCAGTTTTGTGTGTGCGTGTGCTTGTCCAAGAGCTATGCCCCTTCTTGACCTTAGCAAAACAGCTTGCATGACCTGAATGTTAGAATGGCATTCGCCACACAGCGCGCTTCCCGTCTTCAAAATCAGTGCAAAGCTGGATGGAAAAGCAGGTGCTAACCATTTTTAAAAAGAGCCTTACTGAGCATTCTGAGGGCCCTGGGATTGACTTGGATGCGCACCATCAAAAGGTTGTTTTTAGCCATTTCAAAGAAGTGAGTGGCAGCCCTTCAGGTGCACCAGGAATACTTTCTTGCCAGGCACCCGCTTACCGAAACGTTAATCTCCGAGCAGCACATCTGCCACGCTGGTGGCTCTGACCCGCCTGCTGCTCCTGATAATAGTTAGCACCGCTGCCTTGCTGACTCAGAGCCAATTTGACAAGCCCTCCAGGTATGCTTGCTGTGATTGGAGGAACAGACACTTCCAAGGCTGCTTTGGACAGAGCTTCATCAAAGAAGTGCAGTGGTTTCTTCTGGAACAACTGAGATGTAATCGTGATGTGTTTCTCTTCCTGGGCAACCTTCTGAATGCAGTTCCCCCTGTTCAGCTTCTCCTCAAGTAAATGCAGTTTAGGTTCTGCCCAAGTGGATGCAAATAGGTTCCAGTACTTGTACTGGGGAGAACAAGCCAGGATTAAGCCATGGCTTGAGGAAGCAAGCCAGAGTCCCCAAGCTTGCATGTCACTGGAAACTTCCAGGTCCCTTTTCCTGGTGTGCTTCAAACTCGAGAAAACTGCAGGTCTCATTGTGGTTTGTTCACATACAGGAGAATCGTCTTCCTCTGAGTCACGCCAAAGACCCTGTCAGGCACTTGCCTTTTCCTGCTCCATCTCTTATTGAGCACCCAGCTGGAATAAATCACTCGTAAAGTGGAAATGTGAAAAGTGTAGCAGGGAAAGATCACCCAGTAAGAATACTGGCTTTGTCTGCAGTGCAGAAAGTGGCTGATTTTTTTTTATTTTCAATTTATAGCCTGCCTTTTTCCTACAAAGGGCTCAAGGCAGCTTACATAATTTCTCCTCCTCCATTTTACTTGGGGGTTTGTTTTCAAGGAGTTAGATGAATTCAGATTGCTTTGGAGGGATTGGTGGCAAAGGAACAGAGATGTAAATCCTTGGTATGTGAACAAATCCTTATGAAAGAAGAACTTGGGTGTGTATATGTATCCCCTCCGTCACGTGATGGAGTCTGTGGTGGCAACACGGCTCCAGTCTTCCTGCGGATCCTTTCCAAACTGGATTCAGGCCTGGTTTGGGGACGGAAACAGCCGCAGTTGCTTTGGTGGGTGAGCTGCAGTGCAGAAACACAAGGATTTATGGTTGAGATTCCAGAGATCACAACCGGCCCTTGTGTAGTGGATCAGCCACTTGAACACTGGTTCAGAACATCGACTGGACTAGATGGCCCTGAGGTCTGATCCAGGATGGTGCTTCTAAATCTCACCTGTACTAGATGAAAGCAGAGGGGCACCAGGGTCCTTCGCACCTCGATGACACTGCTGCGCACACCCCTGGATATGCTCTCCCAGTGCTGCTGCTGCAGCTGAACCTTACGCCAATCCAGATGTTTCCATTTAATCTCCTATGCTTGCCTACTAGTGGAAGGTTATAATTTGTGTATTTTTGATCCTTGCATTTCTTCCTTCCTGTCCCATAAAATCAGTGCTCCTTCTAGAAATGAAGGACTCTGCGGGACTGTCGGCACATCTGTGCCTTCCCATCCTTCCGTCATATCACATGCCTTGCTTGTGTTTGTAACTTTTCCACTCAGGGGAGTATGATGGTGTCATTAAAGCGCGATCACCTGGGGAGAAGCCGGTGATCATGCGTCCTCCCGTGAGACCGCCGGACCCTCCGTGCAAAGCCCCTGCACTGCAGAAGCCCGAGGCGAAGCCGGAGCTGATCCTGGGGGCAGGGACAGGAGAGGCGGTTCCCTCTGTGTGAGTACCAGAGCAGGACAAGACAGAGCAAAGGACCTCTCTGATGGGAGGGGAGAGCCAAAGGGGTGCCCCGAGGGGAGATGGCGCCAAGTGGGCATGTCTGGGGGTGTGACAAGGACACCAGAATGTCCCAAGAAAGCTTTAATCTGCCCTTCCTCTGCCCATGGTTCAGTCCATGCTTGGCTTCAGGAAAAGGAGCAGCCCATGCAGTCTTCCCTGGGGAAGAGAAAACTCTCTGCGAGGAATCCAGGAGGCAAAAGGTGGCACAGACCTCACTCAAGAAGGGCTTCCTGCTTTTGGCCTCCAGGAACTCCCTTTCGGCCGCTCCTGCTGCTGTAATATAGCTATGGAGGTCAAATTTTTCAAGAGTGTATCATTTTCCTGTTAACCATTTCTCAGGAAAGGTCAGCTAGCGATGGTGACAGCTGTCCGCCTTGTGTCTCACCCTCACTTTCTGCATCGATGGTTCCCGCCTTTGCATCTGAGCAGTGGCCTTTAAGTGGAACACGAGTGCACAAGTTACCTTTGGCTTGCCGAGCAAGACCAGTTGGGCCAGACTTTCCCCCATCCAGCAAGAAATTACCCAGCATGCTGAAGGCAGAATGGTGAAAACTTGGCTCTTGGTGTGCGCTTCCTCCCTGGAGTTGCGCTTGCCTAGGGAAGAGAAAAAGTGGAGGAGACATTGGACCAAGTGAAGAGACAAAGTGGAGGAGGCATTTCAAGATGTGATAGAGAGGGGATGTTGTTTGCAAGATGGTGAGGAGTGACCAGAATTTTTGCTGGTCTCTCCAAGATGGTCTGTTGTCCTTTCTGACAAGCCACGCACAAGCCATTGCTCTGAAAACAAGCCATCCAGAACAATCTAGCAACAAGCTGTGGGTCCTCAGGGTGGTCTGGGCAGGGTGAACAAACCACCCTGAAGGAACCAGGCCATGGGTGGTGTTGTATGAACCGGGTCTGTGTGATCTGCACCTGAGTTTTCCTGTTGGGAGATTTGAACTGCATCCCAAAGAAAGACATTTTATGCTCTCCGTAACTGTGAGAGAGGGGCGAGGGGAAGCACCAGCTGAGCTTCACGGCTTAATGGGGGGCAGGGTGTGGGGAGTGAGGCAGGGGAAGGTGCCTCCTGCCCAAGAGACCCTTCTCATCTGGAGGGGGTAGTGGGGTTTGCACGGCACCATGCACATCCCGGTCTTTTGTCCCCCGGAGTCTTGTTTTTAAATTAGATTTCCTTTAAATCTGTGGATGGCAGAAGCCACTGCTTCACTGTGGGCAGCTTCGTTTGGTAAACCTTCCAAGTCGGGGAACCGACATTGGCCAGCTGTAGTTTTCCCCCGCAATCCCTTTCTACTCTGCTGTTCTGAAAACTTTTCCCAGAGTACCACTCCATCATTATCAGCAAAATGAATGCTCTGTGTTGCCTGCTTTTTGCAGAGTGGCCTCCAGAACAAAGTTTTTTGAGGGGGCTTCCTTCAGGAGAGGAAGGTAAGGAACACCAGTGTGAAAATGCCCCTGGGATTCTTCAGTGCAGCATGCTTATGGGGGGAGAACGCTATGGACTGAGAAAGATATTCAGAAAGAATTCCTGCTCCTATCTGCCTGCAGCTCCTGGCGGGGATTCAAAAGTTTGTTCATAACCATGACCCCTGGATCATGTTGTTAGCACTAGATGCATTGATGGCTAAATCTAAATGTCCCAACTTCCTGCTGTGAGGCAGGTTCAGGGACTTGGCTCTCCCGGGACTGTAACGTGATCGGACTCTGCATTACAAAGGGCATCGAGGGAGCTTCCCGGCGGGGGTCTTCTGCACTGTCATCCTGGCTTATGCCCAGATGTCTACAGGCCCGTCTGCATGCCCTGATGCTAGCCTGCCTTCTCTGTGCAACCATAACTGACACAAGGGGTGTCGCTGTGACGCTGCCCTTGCCTCACTGGAAGGATTGCGGAGAGGGCTGCGTTGAGCGTCTGAATTTGCTTCTGTCTGTCTTTTGCAGCTCTTCGTCCCCCCAAGGCAGACTCCCGAGCGATGAGGGCTGATGGGCTTAAGGTATGTTTTCATTGCACAGAAAGCAGGTGGCGGGTCCAAGAGATGTCACTGCCGGTGGTGGGAAATTCCAGCTGGGGATTTCCTCTCGGTTGTGCTCTGAAGCCCGCACCATCTGGAATATTCAGGGGCACATGCATGGAACGCCTAACTAGTGAGAACCGCTTTGGCACCTGCTTGCCGCCTCTCCTGTTATGTTCTTAGACTATGCCTTGTTCAACAATTGGATACCATGGCGCCTCCTTAATAGGAACGCGTTGCATTTGGCTAATTGCTGATGGTGCCTTCGAGCACATGCCTCTTTGAATCACAGCTTTTGACAATGTCCGATGGTTGCTTCTTTGGGGGAGGAAGTCGTTACACAGATAAACTTTGTACTGGAACAGTCTTTAATATTCATTGACATATGTAATCTTTTAAACTATTAACCTATTTCATGGAAATTAATGAATGGAAGAAAAAATGAATTCTCTGTACCAGTTTGTGAGCTAAAAGACAGATCTTCCAAATAGTTATTATGTATTAATTAAAAGCTTTTCTATCCCGTCCCCTACAAACATCTTGGAATGGCTTACAATACAATGTAGGAAGGAAAAGTTGTCACCTCCCACAGTGCAATGGAATGAGGACCTGACAGGGGCTTTGATATGCAAATGAGATACTTATTTAGATACTTGGACCACTTTTGTTGGACCCTATGTAGGAAATTGCTAGAAAGTCATATGCATTTCGTACAAACTCATATATCTATATTTAAAGCATCAGGGAAACGAGGCATTTTGGGTGCTGGCAGGCACCATGCTGGGGCTTCTCCTTGGGTGCCTTTGGGGGCGCCCATAGGTGCAGCTTTGAGGACTCCCGCTCATGCGGCTGCGCCTGGCAGGTCCCATATGCTACAGCTCCCCCCATAGGCTCTCCTGCTCCCTGGCAGATCAGTCATTCCACACGACAGTGCCTCTTGACCCTCTCACTGCCACCAGGGAAGGGAGTATTCCTCGGGAAGAACGTTTCCATCTTTCCTTGCTCAAAAGTTATCAGCTGCCGCTGCCATTCATTCCTTTTCCCTTTCTTTCACTACAGCCAAGCTTCTGCCATTGCCTGCATCCAAAGAGCACTACTTGTTTTCCCGTGGATTGCTTGGCAGAGGCTGACTGCAGGGCACAGCTGGCCAGGAAGGACCCTTGATGGGACGTGGAAGTGGAGTAGAGCCATTCATTCCAGCCGAGTTGATTCACATTCCTTTTCTTGGCAAAGAGGTGTTGCCTGGCAATTTCTGAGGTGTGCACTGACTCAGCTTCTGCCCGTTCTACTCCCTTGAGGAAATTCCCCTTTGGAGGATCCGTGCTGTCGATATACTGGCTGTGTTAAAACAATTGCTTGAAGCTGTTTTTCCCCACCCTTTTGGAAAAGTGCGGAGGGACAGGGGTCATGAGTACCGTGTTCAGTCTCCAGCAAGGCTGTTCTTGAGGCACTGCTGAAAACGCTCCTTCCCAAGCCAATGGATTGTTCTCCAGGCCTACCATCCGTCCGCCCTGCCTGCTCCACCTTCGGCACGGCTGAGACGGGGGCATGTCGGTTTCTTTCCAATTCTTCATGAGAATGTGACGGTCTTTGCAACTGGGATCCACCCTCATGCCAAGAATGACACTAGTCCCTGAAGATGCCCAGCCTTCTGGTGACATGTTCTCCTACTATCCAGAGCAGCGGCCAGCAATGGAGGCAGGAGATGTTCCAAACTGTGACTGCTGTCCACCCTTATGGAGGCTGCTTTCTGCTCGAAAAGCAACTTCGGACTTGCTTGGAAGGAGGCGAGACTGTCATGGAGTGCCACGTTCATTCCGACGCTAATCGTAGTGCAGAGAGAGTCTGTGTGGATGCCAATACCCTTTCACCAGAGCTGTGCATGCAGCTCAGCCTCTGGGGTACCTCCTCTCCTCTCCTCTCCTCTCCTCTCCTCTCCTCTCCAGAAGGTGTGGCAGTGGGGACTTTGTGTCTCATCACAGACGCTTATTTTCCTAGGTCCACTTTGGGTCCCCGCATGGTCTCAGGCAGCATCTTCTCCCAGAGCACTCCAACAATCACTGTCCCATCTCCCATCAAGGTGTTGTTTTTCAGGCTGCAACACCCTTGCATTCCGTTCATTAGAGGAACCGGGCGGATCCTGCAGCCCATCCCACTCTGGGGGACCAATGCCCAAAGCGTCAAGGCGGCACACTCCAGCAGGACTTGGCAGCCGAGCATGTCGCCTCCCTTTGTGTGCAGCCCTGCTTCACTCCCAGGCAGAATGCTGACTTTTGTGGCACATTATGCAGGAGAACATCATGAACATCCATTCTGTGCTTCTTTCTGTGTGCACATGCTTAGCAGTGGCAGAGAAAATAAAATGTGCAACGTTCGGCTGTGTTGATCTCCATCTGTGCTCAGCCTGGCTACTCACTCGAACCCTCTAAAATTGGCATTGAAATAAAAGACTGTCGTTGAGTCCACGTCGTCTGGCTTTTAGCTCTGGGCACAAGTCGGACAACGCAGTGGGAGGCAGAAGTGGTGGAATCAGAAATGGGCACCCTCCGGGTTTAAAGGGGCACCCATCAAACCTGAAGCCTTGGATCAGCCTCCAAGTTGGGGAAGGCTGCCTTAGATCAAAGCTCTCATTTTGTCTGGTCGGGTTGGATTCTTGGGCTTTCGGTGGCAAAACGCAGAAGTGCAAAACGCGGGCCGATTCGTCCTGTTCATTCCTTGTTCCAAGTACACAGGTAGTGGATTGTGCAGCTGCTGCCAGTCAGTGCATGGGAAACGATGAGGGGGAAGTGTTAGAAATCTGATCCGCCCTGTGTAGTGGCACAAGAGCATTGTTCATTGCAGCTTTTCAAGTCCACTTCGTGTGGCCGTTTCTCCATAGAGACGTGGTCACACAGGTCGACTGGGTATACTTTTCTCAGGCCTGCTTTTCATCATAAGCTAAAGATGTCCAGCAATTCAACTCTCTATTTTGTGAATTTCAAGGCACTTAAGATATCTTCCATCTGATGTATTTTTGTTTGGTAAAGGATTAGATTAGTTGTAATAATGTTTATAATGTTTCCATGGATTAAAAGAAGATCTACTTCATAGCCTTTGTCTGTGTTCTTTTCTTTGCAAAGCTACGCAGCCCTTGACCAACTTCTTGCACACGGTTTGTCAGGGAACGGCTGCGTGTGCAGGAGCGTTTTGCAGCAGCTGCTCTCCCCAGTCTGCCCCCGTCGATTCCATTGCATTCGTGCAGGGTTCAGCTCCCATTATCCCCAGCCAGCATTGCCATTGGCCACACTGTCGCATGATGGTGGTTCTGACAGTGCAAGATATCCCGGGGCTTGAGGGGGTTACCCATCCCAGGCATTTCCTTTAATGTTTTAGCTTTTTAATTGTTAAAACGTTTCTCAGATTAGATTGTATGGAGCTTTCACTGCGTTTTACAGTCTTGTTTTTATGGACTGTTGTAAACAGCCCGGAGAGCTGCAGCTGCGGGGTGGCATAGAAACAAAACAAACAGTCGTAACAGCAACTTTATCCCGCAGACCTTCGTGTGAACCCTGAAGACCCGAGCCCGGCCTATTTGCATAGCCCACGGCTGACGCAGCTCTCGATGCAGTCGAGTGGGACCGCGGCAGGGCCCAGAAGCCGACTCTCCGAGGGAAGAGCCATTCTATAAGTCCCCGCCTGAGATCTCGTTCCTTGGCAACACTGCTGATGCACCTCCATGTCGCAAGAGCTCGGAACGAAGTGTGCACAGCTCTTTCAAGGTCACCGATGGCACAACCAGAGTGCAGGAGGGGATGGCATTGCCGCCCGTGCGTCTCCCGGACCGGTGCCGTCCCTGCAGCTCCCGTGTGCATTGGCTCTTAAAAGAGAACAGATCTTGAGACTGGTTCAGAGACAACCGTCAAAGGCTTCACATGCTTAAAAATATCTTACCTGATGGGTTGCCTCAGCTTTCCTTGCTTCCTTGATCCAGCTGGCTGCTCTTGGGTAGAACAGTGCTCCTGATTGTAAAAATGCCTGGCTTTGCTCTACGCGCACGTTCCAGCAGGTGCATTTAGCAGCCCTGCACAGTTTGGAGTAGGAGATCACCCTTGTGCGTGATTTCAGATGCCTGGTGAGATTTCCTGGTTTTGCTGCCCCATGTACAGTAAATGTGCTTAAACTGAATTTATTCTGATTGATTAATATTAGGCGGAGAACCATCTTGTAAATGTGACTGTAAACAAGAATGTTAAAAGACGCACCCTCTCTTGCACAAGAACGAAAAGGAACGAATGTGCTGTTTCCCCCCGAACTACGCAGATCTATTTATTTATTTTTTATTTATTTATTAAAACATTTCTATGCTGCCCCTTGCCGAAGCCTCGGGGCGGCTCACAACATACAATAAAATGCACAATAAATTAAAACAATAACAATTAAAATATATATATTAGAATAAAATAAGCCGCCCTGGCCAAATAAAATTTCCATGGTATTAACATTTAAAATGCTGCTTAAATAAAAAAGTCTTCGCCTGGCGCCGAAAAGCAAATAACGACGGCGCCAGGCGGACCTCTCTGGGGAGCGCGTTCCATAACTTAGGCGCCACCGCTGAGAAAGCCCTCCTCCGAGTAGCCACCCTCCTAATTTCCTTCACTGAGGGCTCCCGGAGGAGGGCCTCTGCCACCGATCTCAGGGGGCGGCTGGGCATATATGGACGTAAGTGCTCCTTCAGGTAACCAGGACCCAAGCCGTTTAGGGCTTTATAGGTCATCACCAACACCTTGAATTGGGCCCGGACATCAATGGGGAATCTATGCATATATATTATGGTTATTTAGCGGTGTCCTTTAGCCTATTAAAAAGGATTGAGCGCAATCTAGCACTGGCTTTTCGGGCAGCAAAATGTGATAAAAGATGGGGTGTGCAGGACAGTCCTCGTGCATCAAGAGAGCCCTGGCCAGAGTTCAAGAACGTCGCCTTCAAGGAGGGGCGATGGGCAGCCACAAGGAATGCGGACAAGCCTATTGGGTCGCGAGACAAGATCAAGGCTGAAGCGGAGCTCCATGAATTTAAGAGCGCAGCAAGAATTCCTGGCTGTGCCTGAGGGAAACTCTTGCTTAGCAAGATGAAAATCTTGCCAGGGACTTACATCTTTAAAAAAATCCCTGTATTTCGCTCATCAATTCCCGTTTGGAGGCCCCGCTTCGTTTCCAAGGATGAACATCAAAGACTGGCAACAACCTGCCTTAGAATTCCCCTGTTGGAGCCTGAAATGAAAAGATGGAGCTCATTGAAGATTAAGTGATGAAAGAAGTCTGATGGGAGAAGGTGGGAAATTACCCGCCCAGCACAGGCCCTCCTCCTCGGTGCCATCGCAGCGGCAGAACTCCCTGGCCTGCGTGGCAGGCAAATGTCCAGTCCTGGCCTGGCTGGACCAGGACTGGATGGAAATGCTGCCTCGAATGGGGAAAGGATTCTCCATAACCCATTCAGACAGGATGCACATCAGGCATCTTGAAGCAGCCTCGACCTATTCCTGGGAACCCTGGAGTTCTCCAGGTGGCGGGAGCAGGCCCTCTGAAGGGGGGTTTGCTGAGCAAGGTAGCTGAGGGTGGTTTAATAAATAAAAGCTCAAGGAATGCTCCCATGCACGCCAGGGAGCCCTTCCCAGTACAGGTGTTTCCCATTTGCGAGGCCTCCTCCATGTCTGCCCAAGATGTGGTTCCAGAATTTTCGAAGGCATCCTGCAGATCTCTTTTAGCTGGAGTGAAGGTAAAAAGCCGAGTGTCAGCTCTTGTGGCAGCTTGTTCCCGACATTCACGATTCTATAGCGTGTGCACATGGTAGCCAAAAAGCAACAGAGAAGAGATAGTGTCACCTAAGAGGCTGCTGCAGGCATGTCTCATGCAAGCACCCCAGAAAGGGGCGTGGGTTTGCCTTGAACTTGCACCTGCCGGTGTGCCTGCAGCCATGCAAATGCAGAAATGAGGGGCCCGAGTGAAACAGGGCTTGGTGCGCAGGAGGTGCAGGCGGTGCCCAGGGGCTGCTGAGCTCGACAGAGGCTGTTGTGCGGGCAAACCGTGAATGGACAGCTTTAGGCCCCCACCCACCCTGCTCTCCCTCCTTGTCACAGGTCGAACTGAAGGGCGGCTGGGGGCTTTGCTATATGAGGCGTTCATAGTGCTCAGACATTCCCTCCCTCACAGGAGCGCCCAGGGCCTTTCCACTACGCCACCGTCCTCCGGAGCCTCTCCCATGTTTTCCAGGCTTTTTCATGGGCGTTTTTAGAGCAAGAAAAGTCTGCTATTAAATTTCAAATTGCAACAAGCAGAACAAAGGCCTCCTGAAAGTCACAAATCTGCTGCAGTGCAGCCATTTCAACAGTGCCACCTTATAGCTGGTTCGTAAAATACAGAGAAAGGCAATGAAATACAAACCTTGGGGGAGAAAGCCACACGTTCGAAGGATGGATTTTCCTTCTGGCAGTGAAAACAGAAGAAGACACCTCAGGAAAAAGGGCGGGTTAACCCCTTCGTGTAATGACGCTCTTGAATTGGCAATCCATCAAATGGGATCCCTTCATATAGAGGACTGGCCCCTTCCAAGCGCTCTTCAGATAGAGGACGGCACTCTGCAAAGTGGGACACCTGGCTACCCTACAGGTTTACTTTTGATGTGAACACTTTCCAGTCTGTAGCCACTCTGTACCTTCCCCCTGACACCTAAGCATAAGCATCCATTATGCTTCTGGAATCATGCTTTCTTCCTTCCTTCCTTCATTTTGGATGTGAAGAAATATTTATAAATATTTTAAGAACTAATGACCTTTAATAACATAAGACCTTTGCTCTGTATTTTGGCTTTGTATTTTATTGTTGTTGTTAATGTGCTATTGGTTTTTATTATGTTTTTATTGTGTTCTTATCTTGTGGTTGTGAGCCGTCCGCAGGAGCTGTGGCACAACTGGGTGGCATACAAATGTTTTAAGTAAATATATAAATAAGACCAAGTCCAGAAAGTGCCTGGAACCCATGACCTCGAGCTCAGCTTCACGAGGTTCACCTGTGGATCTGCACTGCCGCAGTTTTGATCAGAGCATTCCTGGCCTTCCAGCCACTGGGTGTCGCCTGTCCTCCCCTCGTCTGGACAAATGGGGGGCAGAAGGACGGAATCACTGGGCACGAGCCCCTGGCTCTGGAAGGTTCTGTTTGCAATCAGGTATAACCATAGAAAAGAGAGTGCATGGTAATTCCTCTTGTGCTCGGCATTCCCCATGACATTATCACTTTCAGTTATTAACGGTGGTCTTGGAAAAGAGATTGCTAATGTGATGACTGAAAGTAATTACAGCCCGATATTACTCTGTGCAGAAATTTCAGTTCCTGGAGCAGCATGCGCGTGCTATATTTCTGCAAAACACATTCTGGTCCTTTTAACATTTCTTTTAAAAAGGTTGCCGACTTGCACATACTTTTGAAAATTAAAGTAGGATGGATTGACTCGGTGGCATGTGCTTTCGGCTTCCCTGAAAATACGGTCCAGCTGTTGCACAGGGTCTGCCGCTTGTGCTGACCGAGAGCAGCCCCTGCGCCAGGATGGGCTTCAGCAGGGTCGCAGCTGCAGAGAACGGCTCGACCTGTTGCTCTCGTGCCCTCAAGGAAAGCGCCCTGCCCTTTCCCCATGGCAGATGCCCACTCCTGCCTGCCCCCGGAGAGGAGCGCCCCAGGGACCAGAATATTGCTCTCCCCAGAGCAGCAATAACATCCACTAGTGATCAATAATATCAGGAAAGCGAGAAAGCAGGGCAGAGAAAACGCAGCAGCTATTTGCCCCTCTGCCGCCCTGCCCGGTCTGTGCTGGCAGCAGGGAAGAGAAGGACTCGCGTCCACCAACCCTTGCTGGATATCCGCTGGCAGGGAGCCACGCACAAGAGCCTTGAATGCTGCGGGTCCCCCCCCCCCTTCTCTTTGCGTCCTTCTGATTGCTTTTTAATTAGCCAGAGAGGCTGGGTGTTGCTATGCTTCAGCCTTCATGAAATGCAATCCAGAGGTTACCGCCGCATGAACATCGGCTGAGTGCAGCCTGTCACTCAGAAATCTCCATGGAAAGGTTATGCTGTACCTGAAAATGTGTACTTTTGATTAAGTCAGCAGCTTTGCAAGTACATCTGGCAAAAGCACACTTGTGGCCCTGATGAGCTCAAGGCTGGTACAAGATTAAGGGGAGCTCATTGCAGAGACGGGAGGCAGCGGGATGAAAGCTGGAGCCTGCGCGATGGTGGGCTTGCTGACCTTCTCTCTGCAGTCCCGTCTTTCTGGACTTGGGCCCCGCAGAGGGCCAGTGCATGCAGGGCCTGCCCTGGGCTGCTGGCGAGACAGTTTGGATGCCACCTCAGCTTAGGGGACTCACTAGCCAGCCTTCCGCATGCTTCAAGATTCGACCGTCTGGACAGATTAGCCTGGGCCCAGTGAACAGTCTCCGTGAGGTGAACAGCTTGAACATTACAGAGCAAGGTGTCCACATTAGAGGATGATGAGCCTCCTTTTCTGTCCAGAGGAACAGCCCCCCCCCCCCCATGTTTCCACATCTGCATGTGAGCAAAGGATGCATTTTGCGGGGGATCCATGATCAGAATGGGCTACGCGCAGAGATGCGGCTGAAGCTCCCATGCTGGTCCCAGGGCAGTGGGGTCTTGCAACACCTGCTCAAATGGCGGCAGAACCCAACCTGAGCCTTGGAGGGCCTCCTGGCTGTCTCGCTCCCAACCAGAACAATCGCCAAGAGTCTCTGGCATCTCAGTGCCAGGACTTTACTATTTGCTGAAAATATGGGCTGCAGGAGCACCTGCCTGTGGCTGAGGCAGCAGGAGTCGTCCCCAGCACCACTGCGATTCGGAGGCTGCTGCAGCACATTGCCCAGCCTCCAGCTCAGACCTTGCATGAACAGCCCATTTTAAAAGGCGGAAGTAAACCTCAGAAGCCAAAGGCAAAGCTCTGGCAACAGCATTTGTCTAACTCCGGGCAGCCAACGAGTTACATCCTCTGGGTTCTCTGCGGTCAAGGAACTGTTCACGTCTTTCCCTTTCCCCCGAAATCCCATCCGTTCTGCCCCGCAGCTCATCCTTACTTCCTGGGCGCATTGCCTGCTAATCCCTTGATTCATCATTTCCATGGCACCGCCTCCGTTTCTGTCGCCAGCTCCGTCAGCCTTGTCCTGTCAGTGCATTCTTAGGACTGGCACGCCGGTCTCTGGACTGGGTGGCAGAGGCGGTGTTCTAATGAAGCCGTTTCCCTCTTTTGTGATGAAGCGGCATGCATTTCTCTCTAACCCCCAAACCCTGCTTTCTGGACTCTTAATGAGCATGGGGGCGAACTCCCTCTTTCCAAGGGCCAGTGTCCTGCTCTGCGACGTGCCCCACACAGCTCCAGCTCAGGGCCCACTGAGACCCACACGGGGAGTTCCATGTGCAGGGATGCAAGCCGAGTGCCATGAGAGCACAGGAGGATGCATGCAGCCGGGGCCATTTTCTGCGCCGCGTGGAGAAACACAATATCTTGCCATTTATAGTGTCATCCCTTTGGGTGTCACAGCAAGTGATTTAAGTTCCCCACCTGCTGTCAAGAGAAGCTATTCTGCAAATGCCCACGGGGAAAAATGCAAAACACATTGCCAAATGCACACGAGTCTATTCCAACAACCAAAGTTTTGCCTTTTTATTGAATTTGAAGCAACAATAGAATCCAAGATTACAAAAAAGGGAGAACTGAATTACAGCATGAAATTTGCCCTGGTGTCCAGTGACAGCCTCTCACCCTCCCTTGAAACCAGTCCTGGACTCAAGAAGTCAGAAACAAAAGCTTTTATGTTTGCTTTTCTCTTTCTTCGTATTACACTCTGCTTAACAATTCCTCCCCACGTGTGTGTATCAGACGCCCTCTGGGTCTCTCAGTTGGGGTGCCTTTGAAACACTACCTTTCAGATGGAGTATTTTGTTTGCGAAGGAATTCTGATTCTCAGAGAACAGTTATTGTGCAGGTCTCCTTCCTTTCCTTTCCTTTCCTTTCCTTTCCTTTCCTTTCCTTTCCTTTCCTTTCCACACCTGCACAGTATCTGTCTCTGCTGAGTTGCACCCAGCATCTCCAATCAGGGGTTTGATTCTGCATTTTGTCTGTTGGAGTCTAATGTCAGTCCCAGTAAAGACAGTGTCAATTTCCCCATCAGCTTCAGTGGGAAAACTTTTCATGTTGCTGTTTGGGCACCATTGGTTAAAGGTGACTGCCTGAAAGAATCCAGTTCCTTACCTACAAACTCTCGAGGTCACAGCAGGGCCTGCATAATGTGGCCTGTGCTCCAATTAGGATTTTATTCATGTATTGTTTTTAAATAGTCCTTCTAGTGCCCCTCAAAGATGAGAACAACCCCCTCCTTTGCAAAACTGCCATAGCTTTTATGCTGGTTTTGATATTTTGTTAGCTTCACAAGCTTATTTGGCTGTATTAAGACAAATAGAAAACTACAACTCCATGTACCTTGTGTCACTGCCCCCTCCCCACACGCACAAGTGTTGTGGCCTATGAGGCCACCCTCTCTCATTTCCCTACCTAACAATAAAAAACAAAAACACCCTACATATATGAAGACCTTGTTTTAAAAAACACACACCATAAACAGATTAACAAATACAACTTCTTTTGTTAAAAAAGTGCCACAATTTTTACAGAACCGCTCCAAAATCACTCACAATAACTGACTGTGCCCTGCAAGGAGGGTACTGGCTTCCTGGAGGCACTGTGAGCCGGAGGAAAAGCCCGGGGGCCACACCAAGGCAGCCTGGGGAGCCCCAGAACAGAGCAGGGCCTTCCCCCAGCCCTCTGTGTCCTGCACGGGAGGTGCGAGGGGGTGGGGAATGGCACCCTCGGGACTGGGGGAGCTGGAGAGCGAGGAAAGACTGCCCCTCGCAGTCCGGTGGTGCAGCTGCTCAATTGGAGGGCCCCCTAGCCCCCCGCCTGTGCAACTTGCACAGCTCAATGTGCATCTGCTGCTAAAACCCAGGCATGGCTCCCCTTCCGGCGAGAGAAGCCGGTGCCGGGGGCCTTCAAGGCATCTTTTGTGTGGCTTCCAGGTGCAGCCCCCTCAGGTGCAAATGTGATGCTAGCTAAGCTGTTTACTCCGGGGCAGTGCACTCCTCTGGACTTGCATCCCTGGAAGCTGGCACTCTCTCCAGTGGCAAAGCACCTTTCCCACGCTCCGAGCAGAGTCACTGGCACAGGGAGCTTTAGTGCTATCGAGTGGGGGGCGTAAGTGGGACGTCCTCTAGTGCAAATCATGTTCCTTTGAAACTACGTTCCCCAACTTTTCCAGCTCTGGAGGTACCAACCTGGTGACTGGATTCAGTGTGCCAAGGAACACTCTTGGACAATCAGATTTCGGAACATACCAGGACAGAAAAGAAAAAGGAAACAGAGCTTCCGAGATGGTGAGCCTGTTTATCCTGCTGCATGGTGGAGCAACAAGCTCCGAACCCTTTTTCCATTTTAAACGAACATTCTTTGGTAATGTCCCTACCAACACATTCTTTGGATAAAAACTGCTGCAAGTGAACAACACAAGTAGCTTAAGCTGTATAAGGTGCTTTGTACAAAAGGTGACGGCCAGGAGTCCCCATGGACGTCTCCAGCAGCAGAAGAAGAAAGGTGGGGAAGGGTATACACCATGCATAAGGCATCTTTAGTGAAGAAAACTCAGACTCCAACAACTCTGCAACGGAGGGATGCTGTTGTCAATGTCGTACTCCAAATAGAGCCAAATCGTCAAGCGCTTTCTTTGCTTGTATGCGATCAGCAAAAGATCAATGCGAACTTAGTTCGAGTGTCTTTAAGCAACATCCTCACGAGTGTCTTTAAGCAACATCCTCACACCACTTTCACAAAGCCAAAGAAAAGTTTGGATCAGAGAAGCAACGGAATTATGGGACAACGGCCACTTTACAGAATTGCTTTGTCCATGCTGGTATGCCTCCCTGCTAACGCAGTCGATTGTCCAGGAGGCGTAACATTTGCCTGTGAAGGCATGGCATTGTGCCTAGTTAAGGGGCACGTGAAACAGACAATTTGGATATGCTGGAAAAGGTGTAATGCTTGTCCATGTTTGCTGTGGTCTAACCAATGCGGGTCGCATTCTGCTCAACCGGGCATGCAACGGCATCAGGAATGCCAGCCAGGCTGCTTCCCCATCCCATTTTCCTTCCCTTCCCATTTTTTCAGAAGAAATGTGGAGGTGAGGAGACAGCAGTCTGATCGCAATGCTATGCGTTGAAGGGGAAAACCCTAGCGAAGAAAATGACTAAACTATCTGCGTTATGTTGTAAGATTCATGTGGCAAAACAGAATGCATTGGCACACATTTTAAAAAAATGCTTCATAATTGTAATAATGCACAAATGCATAATAGAAACAAGGATTGGTGGCTGAGACATTGTCAACACTTTGAGCATTTCTCATGTTTTCTTCTTTTATAAATGCAGCATCACATTGTAAATAAACTAAAGGAGGTAAATAAACAAGTCCCCGCTAGCAGAGTTCCTCCTCGCAGCCCCAATATTGTCACGGGGTTCACTGTGGATGCTTTGCAAGGATGCTTCAGAACTCCTTTGCAGCACAGCTGTGGTTCAAGGTTGCTCACGGGCCGTGGTTGCGTCTGGCGGCTGCACAAGCAGAGCTGCTCCAGAAGCTTGGCAGGAACACAGCTCAGCCGAACTCCGATTTAAAGAAGTGGCTTCCACCTCAGAGTGGAAAGAGCTTTCAGCAAGTCCTGCTGAATGTGAGAAATGGCTGTTTCTGCTCCAAGTGTCCAATGTGAGATATTCCCTGCCTGGAGACCCTTCCACATGATCTACCATCTCCTGAGGAGGGAGAAGCATTCATTCTTGGTATGGCTATATGAATTCCACCACTCTACTTTCCGCAATGCAAGAAGCAGGGAGATGTTTTTGAGCTTCCCAAGGAGCCGCAGCTTCCAAACTGTTTGGACCTAAAATTCTCTCCTAAGTATAATCAACGAAGCAACGGACAACATCATTGACAAGAATCAGCCAAATCGGCAACTGTCAGGGATGAGGCAGTGGTTACGTTAACGCCGCTTCTTTACAAAGCTAAGTTCCAACACGGAGCTATATATTCCACTGAAGGTCCAGGGCAAGCCAGAGAAAGTGGCAGCGCACTGGTGAACGGAAGGGGCAGATCAAAATGGGTGAGGAACAGCAAGGTTTCAGGCCTTCACAAGTCATCTTTCAGACCTGAAGTGTAATAAGTTATCACTGTGGGAAGGCACACCACGTGTCTCACCCAGCTTTAGAGAAATCCAGGAGGCCAAACTGGTGGAAAAATAAGCTTAGAGGAAAGAGCTCGTGGTGGTAGTGGGTGTAGGCACAGACACCCCAGAAATCGTAAATGGCATTCTTATGCAAATCAGTGGGTCTTCCACACATGCAGCTGAGCTGTCCAACATCATCCCCAATCACTGATTTTTGTTCAGCAAAATTATTCACATGCATTTCTTTCAGAAATAATCCTGACCATCAGAGATGGCAGTTAGGAATCCTTTTGTGTCAACGTGTAAGATTCAGTGGTCAGCAACTGCATGGATTCTAGTGCAACCTGATGAGGAGGAGGGGCATCTTTTCACAATGAGGGACACTTCTAGGGCTTGGTTCCAGATCCTTTTGGAGAACGTCAGACTGTAGTGCTGTCTATCTGAAATCACAAAAAGAACCTGTCCCCCGCCCCTGTGCATGATTTCCTGACAACATACAGCAATGCAGCAGGAACTAGATTTTTTTCACCAATCCACAATGGAGTGGGCTAGGACCAAAGTTCTGTGCAGTTTCTCGGCAGGTCCAATGGCACAGAGTTCCTGTTTAGTTTTGCTTCTGAGACCTTCATCCGTCTCATGCAGAAAGAGCAGGTCATGCAAGAAGGTCCTTAGATGCTTCCGGAGAACCACATGAAGTGGGGTGCAGAGCTAAGAGGAGGCATCAGAGGCTGGTGGTGCTGGAACGAAGAGCTCCAGGCAGCCCCCGGGAGGGGCAGCACCAAGACCACAGAGCGGCTTTCTTGAGAGGAGAGCATCTTTCAAGACATGAAAAAGAAAATGCTCAAAACTGGAATGTGTTCACATTCATTGGGCAAGTTTTTGGATTTGGCTCATGGTCCACAGAAGGGAAAAAACCTTGTGGAGCAGCCCCTGGAAGCTCCAGGGCACTGGGAAGGCGAGAAGCACCTCCAGCCCTTCTTAATGCTTTGCATGGTTTTGATGAGCACAAGGATCTCCATAGTAATCGGGCACTTCGTGTAGAGGGACGCTGCTGAAAGCACCTCCGCAGCCCGAGGAGATGCCCGCAGCACCATCAAGGCAGGGTAGGCACTGCGCACCGGCACTGTGGGCATCTGTGAGTTGGTGGGCTGGCGCAGCGGCTGGATGCGCCCAAGGTACGAGCAACAGCAACACAGTGGCACTCTGCCTGGACAGCACCAGACCAGGAACAGGGCTTCTTCACACGCAGAGACACGGCGGTTCGCACGGGCCTGAGCGATGCCAGCAGCTGTGGCAACACCTTTCCCCGCTTCCCTTTGCGCGCCCTGCTTTCCTTTTCAACCGCTGTATGCATTTTGCTACATTCTTTCTGTCTGGTTTTGGGTGCAGGAATTACAGCTCTCATTTCCTGGTTTCGGATACACTGTGGAATTTCTCCTCCATCTTAGAGAGGTGGGTGACCCAGCTGGAAAAGATAAAGGCAGGTCTGCGCCAAACAGTAGAAGTGTCACCCAAACTCAATAGGGAGTTCTCCCCTGACCCCAGTATTCAGTTTTTATAACCTGCTTGTCATCTTGGGTTTGCTCTAAAAAGAGAGAATGTAATCAACAGCAAGAGGGATGGCAAACGAAAGGAGATGTGCGCATGTGTTTCAAAATCAAATGCTCCCCCCTGTGGCAGAAGCCCACGAGAGCCACTGTGGGAAACGCACAAGCCAAAGAATGTAAACCGTGCCGCTCGGCACCACGCCACAACAACAAACAAAGAGAAAAGATGGACCAGACTCTACACACGTAAGGAGCTACTCAGAAGAGGCAGATGCCAGGGCAGGCCACCCAGCGGAGAAGAACCCAAACGAAAATAAGCCCCAGCAGGTAGTTCTTTGCAATTACGGTACATCTTTGCGACATACAGTATTCCAAGGCACTGCAGTGCAGTAGTGCAGAAATAGCAGGCAGGCGATGGCAGCTGAGCTGGGCTGGGCTGGGCTGGGCCCCTCCATCCTCCTCCATTACTGTTTGTGGAAGTAGATGGGCTTCACCTTCCCAGAGAGGATTTTCGGGACTTGCATGGAGATGATCTCGGCCATCATTTCGGGGTAGTCCACACTGACCATGTGGGACTTCACTAAGAGGTCAAATGTAAACTGGTGCAGCTCTCTGGCAATCTAGGGGAGGAAAGAGAGGAGAAGGGGTTACAGCCGCCATGTCCCAGAGGGGCTCCGTCTCCCACCTGTCAAGCGCCCCCCTGGGCTGCGGCAAGGCACACGGCCAGGTGCTTCCTGTGCCTGATGCTGAGGCTCCCCAAAAACACCTCCTGGCCCTTGGGGTGGGTTTTCTGCTTTGAGTGGAAATAAAAGTGCAGGCTCTGCTTGGGAGCTGCACCGGCACCAGGTGCCGTGTGTGTAGTGTGTGTGACAGTTGCACCGATTCCATAACAGCGTTGCTGCCTGCACACACGTATGCCCGTAAATATAAATGTCGGCAGGAGCAGACGGAGGGGTGAGGAGTCTCCCTGGAGAAAGGCAGGACAGGCCCTGAGCGTGCAGAAGATCCACTGCAAAAGGCCGGGGTCGCGAGAGGGCGCGAGCACTGGGGGGATTCTCCTGCGAGGAGGCCCAGAGGACCCGCTGGAGCTGGTGGGGGACAGGAGAAAACACAGTGGGCAGAATCACCCGCTGGGCCCATCGCGGGTCGCCCTGCTGCTTGCAAGGCAGCATAGGTGAGATGCAGACCCCGCCAGTGCGGAGGCTCCGTCCCGTGGGATGAAAGGGACGCCAGCAAGGAGCTCTCCCCGGCAGGCGTTCTGCACGCAGTACAGCCAGGCTTCCTCCCGCACTGCTTCATCCCCCACCCGTAACCCTTCTGCATCTTTCCAGTGCTGCCTCTTTTTCCGCACTGCAGAAAGTCTGGCTTTTTCCCATTTCTGAGAAGGACTAAAAAGGTGGCCCAGTCTAAGAGAGGGGAAGCCTTCCGTGCGAACGTTCCATCTTTTTGGGGACGTGGCTTGGACACAGACAGTGATGCGATGGGCAGGTGAACTAATCACAGCTGAGCAGAGATTCACTGCGACACTTGTGGTCGACTCCATTGTGCAGCCACGCACACTTTCTGCAAACAAATCTTTTAATCACCAATAGAATGTTTCACTCCCAACCCCCTTATTAAACTCTCAGTGAAACACCTGTTACAGGATTATAGCGCTAATTAATAGCAAGAAAAAAAGATCAGGCCACTATCATTTTAACAATATGACTTTCTTTCTAATTAAACACTTCCAATCCAAAACAAACATCAATCTTTCAGCCTTATTTTCACATTTCACAGGTAGTAATGAGAAATCACAGTTATATATGTGCTTTATAAATGGATTCTTTTTCAAAGAATCACTCCGATTATGTATATTTTGCCAGATGGTGGACTGGATCCTTCCGTAATCCACCCGCAGTAACCATGGCACACCCACTGGTGTGGATGGAACATAGCTGGGTTTGCCTGCAGAAGATTCCCAAGAGCACGGAAATTCAGCTGCAGTTCAACGATTCCTCAGCTTTAGGTTACTCATCTGGCAGCAGTCCTGGCCCATTGGTTTTAGTGGGCAGGCAGGTAGCCTTCATGGCCAAACCATTCCTGGATGGCATGCGGAGAGTCCCACTAAACAGCACTTCCTGCACCTAGCAAGTTCGACAGTAGGGAACAGGCAGTGCGTCAGTGTCGCCCGCTGGCTTTCCAAGTGCAGGGGGTTTGCAGGGAGCCGCTCAGCTGGGAAATCCTGCTTGCACCGTGAGGCTCCTCCACGGAGAGGTGGCCCTTTCACAGGGTAAGGCAATTTGCCCTGAAAGGGGAAACACGCCGACACCTGCCTTCATGCCATCTCTGCATTGGCCGCTGCAGGGTAATACCTTCCAGCTCACCACAGAAAAGGGAGGGCAACCCGTTCCTTTGGAAGGCTGGTGGGAAAGGACTACGAGGGACAGATCTGCCCACCCGAACCTGCAGCACCTCAAACACGTTTGTGCAAACGGTCCTTGAAATGCACCGTTGCTGTGCCACAGCTCAACAAGCATGATTTGTATCACTTTCCTTGGTGTTTTTGAAAACCTTGGGTGGGTGGGTGGGTGGATGCCTGCAAGCTGGCTGGGCTCCTGAAGAGGAGGCGTTCAGGAGGCTGATCCTGTCAGCTGTTTCCCCATCACACACACCCATCCCTGCTGCTCGCCACCTGCCCTGATAAATGTTTGGTGAGAGGCATAAAAACACGTTTCTTGAAACTACAGGTGTGCATGCAGAGAGACCTCATGCACACAGATGCTAAACTCTGGTTAGGCGTGCAGCCAAACTGCTCTCCCTGCTGGGAGGGGTCCATGGGAAGACCCCTTTCATGCGTGCAGCTAGCACAAGCCAGAGCCCTGCAAAAGGCCACGGTGCCTCTCTGAGGGTTTCCTTACAGCCTACATGGTGGGCGACGCAGAGGACTCGTCTCAGACACCAAGTGAGTGACGAAGGGGACGCGCAACGGGGTCAGCCTTGCCAAATACGGGGAGACTTTCTGGGGACGATGGCATAATTTGGTGATGCAATTTCTAGAAAGAAAGAACGAGTTCACATTTCCTCAATAAAGACTCGAGAGCAAAAATAGGGCCTGATAAGAATGGGACTCGTTCAACCAAGGCGAATCTAACTCTCGCATCCCCTGCTTGTGTTGACAAACTGTTTGTGCATCCCTTCGTGTCTTCGAACATGCATGGTTAGCCAAAGCTGGAGGTCCATCGGTAGAGCAAGAAGAAGCCCTCTCTGTGATGCCAAAGCCCATCCTCTGAAGGCCATGCAGAGGGTGGGGCTGTGGAGGACCAAGGTCCTCATCCTGCCAGGGTGAAGACAGGGCCCACGTGTGCCAGCAGTTTGCGCACCTTTTTCTACCTTTGGAGTCCCCGTTTGAACAGTATGTTCAGACTCGTCCTTGGAAAAGGAGATGTTGACCTGGCAGGGCTCCTGGGCATGGGTGGAGAGCTTCGTTCTCGTTGCTTTGTGCTTGTTTGACCACACTTGTTTGGAAGGTTGTGGGGAGGAGAGACCCAGAAGGGTTTATTCTATCCATCCACCCACCCATCTCATCTCCCCTTAGTTTTTCTGCAGTCCACTGCACAAATCAGGTGCTTACACCACCTGGGAGAGCATCATTACCTCTGTTCCCAACTCTGATGTCCTGAATGTCCCTGGATCCTGCCTGCTTTTTATTTGTGGCAGCTGCAAGCAAGTGAGCGATGGTAAATAATATATTCTCAAAGAGGCGATTCCGTGTTTGAGGAAAGAAATGGACGTAACTTTTCCTGAAATGGACTCCAGCTCTTACCACTCACTCACTGCTATTTGGGTTTCCCACCTTTCTCATCTTACATTTCCCAGGCATCTCAGCCTCACCAGCTTCTACGTGATCCCCCTCAACATTATGAACCATCTTTGCACATGTGGTCAGCTGGCCCCACAACTTACTGGCTGCACAGAGTCAAGGAGCTTGGTGAGCTGGTAGAAACGGCGAGAGCAGGACGTGGGATTCTTCCTCTTGCAAGCGATGATACGATCGAGTTCCTTTATGTAGTTCATCCGAAGTTCGTCGAAGAACTTCTGATTCTTCAGGCCATCCACTGGAACTGGAACACAGAGAAAAGGGAAGTAAAGTGCAGAAGGAGGGAAAACAACAACAAGAAAATGGATGCTTACACTGCCCCCCTTTTCTTTATTTGTTCCTGTCACATCGGGAAGTAATAATTAATGGTAGTTAAAATTGACAGAAGGGAGAATGAGTGAAATAGACTGAAATGAAAATGGGGTTGCTTACTAATACTGAAGAGGAGCAGAGCTTTCATGCAAAGAAATTCTTGGGGAGTGATTTGCAGCCATCCAAATTCTTGAGACATATGTCGCATCCTGACACACTGGCTGTACATCCTTGACTTGTGCATTCGATACCTAAGGAGAGAAGATGCCAGCAGAAAATGTAAAAGAGTGCTGCCATTCTGTACTAACTCATACTGAAAAATGGTAACGCATCTATGTTTCACTCCTGATGGCAGTCTGTCCTTGAAGGAAGGAAGGAAGGAAGGAAGGAAGGAAGGAAGGAAGGAGAAATTCCCAGATGAGAGAAATGCTACGGTGATTGCAACCTCTGTGCTCCCTTGCAAACATAGCACTCTGCATGATATGCAGTTATTAAGCTGGACAATGGACTCTTTGGTGCACGTCACCCGAAGTGGACACTTCAAGCACAGGAGGATGTGATCTGCTGAATCCTCCATGGGGCTAATATTTACTCCCACAGCTGTGACTTTGACCCCTATTGAAACTCATTCAGTGACTGCAAACTGCTGTCGCAGGTCCTCGTCAGGAGCAAGAACAAGAATAGGAGTCATTGAATTGTCTCTTCTCCCAAGCTAGCATTCCACACTAGTAAATTAATACCCAAACAAGCAGCTTTGCTTCTTCACCTGCAGTTCATCTCAGCTGGTTTTATCATTGGACAAGGTGTGTGCACATTTGCTGCCCAAGTTATTAACCGGGGGAAAGGTGCATGGCCATGGAAGACCCCAGCCCTGCGCATCTGTGGCAGGCCAAAGATGGAGAGGGCTGGGTGTGGAGCTACAGAAGGGAAGCCGCTGAAAGCCACGCTGAGTTGCTGAGTCGGAGTCCAGCAAGGGGCAGCTTCAGGTGTGGCCAGAGTGGACACCAGACCAGCAGTTCTGGGAAGAGGCTTCTGCCGGGGGGACCCCACCCTGGGGAGCCTGTTTCTGCTCACAGCGGGCAGACGACGTCCCTTGCCTTGCAAGGCACATGCAGAGTGCCCTGCTGGTCACAGCCTGCCCCTCACCCCTCTCAGCTTCAGAGGAGAGGTGGGTGGATGGAGCCAAAGTAATCGTGAAGAGGCAGCCAGTTGGCAACCGCACGTAGAGCGGGGCCAGCCATCTGGCCCTTGGCCTCAGACAGAAAGATGTCTTGGGACAGCCCTGTCAGTTGGATGGAGCCAGAGGATGGGTTCACATGCTGATTTCTTGCTTGTTTTACAGAAACCAGAGAGGAAATAATGCCTGCCGGAGGATGTCATTTGAGCTGACACTAAGGCAGGCTAAGTCCTGTAATCTGTTTCCCATATTATAGCTGAGCCATGGAAGATCTCAGGAATAGTGCTGAGGTGTGCATGGAATTTTCCTCATATGAGGTATTTGAAAGGTATCTTCATTAACACATGGATTTCTTCTGAATCTTTAGATTAAAGAACCCCCCTGAGACTTTTGGAGAAGCACAAAATCCCAATTTGCTATCTGGCTTTTCAAGAGCAGTGCAGAGGTCCTTCTTCGGTCCCACCAACAGCTGAGCTGCCTTCGCTGGGAACTCAAGAGGGGCCCTTGTTGGTGGCGGCGCCCTGGCTCTGGAACGCTGGTCCCTTTCTGGTGACTTATTATTATTAATCATAGGTGTTGCTGTCCATCACGAATGGTTGCCGAGAAGGAAGCGGGAGAGCTCTCCTCCTGCGAAGGCACCTGCTCTCAGGGCTTTGTGGATTCAGGACATGCCACCTGCCAAACCGACCCCTGGAGCACTCCGAGGGTAGCTCTCACTGGGGAGGGCTGCCCGATTTGGCACACCATCAGACTTGCCGTGTTGGCACCTTGCACATGCCCCACTCTCGGGGAGCTTCGCACCCCTCGCCAGGACCACCAGGAAGGCCCTTCTGCGCCATCCCTGCCGGTGCAGCTGCTGCAGGGGTTCCGCCAGGGAGCGTCTGAGGCACACAGGTTTGAGGGAGTGTGCGGAGGGCGGAGAGAGAGGCAGGTAAGTGACAGAGGACTAACAACCTGTCACAGATCCTGTCTCAGAAAGGCCCCCGGAGCAGCAGCCCCGTCCCCAGCATGCCGTCAAGATGCTATTCCTGGTTGAGTTCATTAACGCTTATGGGAGGTGTGAGTGACGCTGCAGCAGCAGCAGAACCACGGGCGTGTGTGGGGTGGGGGCACGATTCTTATATCCCAATATCACGGTGCACTTCTCTGCTGTGGGGAGAGAAGAGCTAAGGGACATGCCGGCCATTCCCCACAAACAGCGCCCTCCCCCGGCTCTTCCTCCTAGGACCAATTCCTCCTTGTGGAAGAAGGACTCACAAAGACTTCTGCACCTGTCCTCGGAAGAGGGCCAGCTCTCAGGGCTTGGAAATGGTTGCTTTTCAAGCAGCATCTCAGACACCACACAAGCAGCCATCTTCCACTGCGGGTGGGTCACCACCAGTCGCCTGGAAACTCCTCCAGCTCACTCGACCGAGAGCGCTGCTTTTGGCGAGTTCACGCCCTTGCAGCCACCATGGTGGCCCTTGGCAATGCATTCCTGCTCGCCGGCAGTGCAGCGGCTGCTCTGGTCCTGCTGGCAGCCTGGCCAGGAGGTGCAAGGCTGTTCTCTCAGGTAGAAAGGAGCCACAGCTCAGAGACAAAGGACCAGCATTGCACGCAGAAGATTCCAGGTGGACACCTCTTGTCGAAAGGCCAGGGAGAGTCACTGTTGGTCAGAGAAGCCAGACGGGGTTGACTGGCTCGATGGTGCCACTTTGTTCAAGGGAGTTTCGCACACTCCTGCTAGTTACTCAAGCACTGCAACACCCAGTGGTGTCTGCGACTGCGAGGATTTTCCTCACATCACCAGTGCTCTTCCATGAAAGCTGCTGAACCATCAGTGAGCTCTGAGTGATCAAACTGCAGATCAGGAAGTGGTGGCATGTCTGTCGAAGGATGTTCACAGACACTTGCCCGAACCAGCCATTGGCCATGGTGGTGAACCAACAGCACAGAATCCCGCCATTTGAGAGTTAGAAGGATCCTCGGAAGTCACCTGGCACGCAATGGAAGAACTACAAGATGGAATGCCTCTGCTAGAAGCACCTCCAGGAAGTCTATTCCTCTGCTGAACAGGGGAATTTCTTCCCATTAAGAAATTTTCCTAACAGTTAGCTGAAACCTGCTTCCTTGAAAAGACCCATCACTGGCTCTGCTCCTGTCTTGCCCAGTCATATCCGAAGCGGAGACACAGGAACAGGCTTCCCACCTGAATGAGAGCAAAAGGCTGAGAGCAAAAGCCTCAATTCAGAGATCACTTAAAGCAAGTATCTGTGTAACATCCAACCCACCTGCAGCCCTTTCACATGCCATCTAACATGAAAGATGCAGAGAGCTGCCATGAAAAGCAGAACTTACTCGTTGAAGACCAAGTCTGGAGCAAAGTAAAGCATCCGGGAGTTCACGTTTGTGAATGACCTCCATCCCATCGCAAAAATCATCAGGCCCATCCAGGAGTACTGAATTATTGCCATTTGGTCTTCCACATGCAGGTTGCGGAATCCTGCGGGGTGGGGTGGGTGGCACAAAGAAAACCCAAGTCAGGCTTGACGCAACCTTTTCTATCATGTCGGGGCCCTCTTGGCCTGGGAGTCGGGCACCTCCAGCAGGCAGGAACTTGTCAAGGGGACTGGCCGCTTGGACCCCACAAGCCTCTTTGTAAAAACATGGCACCCTGTATCTCCTCCACCTGGTAGGGCAGGGGGAAAAGGGGGTGCCAAGCAGAGAACTCAAAGCTTCTCAGAGTTTGTTGCTTCCAGCAGAAAGGAAAACAGGTTGAACACAGTATGAAACACAGCTCTGTTAGTGAGATTATTACTATTACGCATGTTAATTTTCTATTTCTACTGCAGGACCCAGCAAGAAGCACAATTTACATAACTGCTATTTTGAGCACACTCTTTCCCCCAGCGTTGAGCACATATGAGAGTCTCATCCAGTGTGAGGATCTGATGAACCAAAGCCCAGGATGGCCAAGTAGACTCAGGTGCAGCAAGCACCTCAAGCAGATGAGAAGCGGAGCTTCCTTTCATCTGATACTACCCAGCATGAAGTAAGGCACAAACAGGCCATCTGGAGAATTGTTGTCATGATCTTACAGGTTATTTCCCCAGCGAGTCCAGCTTCCTTTATTCAAGATTGTATCTTTCTCCTAACTCCAAAAACAAACAAATGACTACAGAAGCATCTACAATTAGCAATAGATAGATAGATAGATAGATTTTAAGGAACTGGATGTACTACTGTCAATTTTTTGTTTTAAAAAAAGATGATATAGCATTTAGTTCATAATTGCAGCTGCTGCATTTAAGCTTCTGTAGCTCGTCACAGAAGCCGTCAGTTTTTCAAAGTGAGATCAAATTTTGCATTCTTTTGCCAAATGCCAGCATGTGCCCCAAGCGTCTTTGTCAGTTTTCTTCTTAGCGCTCAAGCTCCGTCATATATTCTAAGTGAAGCTGGAATGAATGACCACAGGAAGCATAAACTTGAATATTGCCATTGCTTGCAAATGCCAAAAGGATGATCAAAACCTATCATGAGTCATGTGATTTCACTTTATGAGGGACATGAGCCTGAGTTCTCAGGGAAAAGCAGTGTGTTGAGGGAATCCATCATCCCAAAAAAGCCACAAATCAATACTTGTGGATGTTCATTTCATAACAGAATGCATAAATTATGACAGGATTTGCAGTCATGTAGCTGAAAACTCTAAAGGCAGCTTCCTTGCACCAGGTCTAGCTGAAGAAAATTAAACGGAAGTAAAGGATTTTCTAATCCCCAGAAAATATTCAGCATCAAATATATATATAAAAACAGAAGACCTCATATTTTAAGCTGGGGCTCCGTGAAGACTGTTTAAATGGGAAAAGGTCCAAAATGCCACTTGGTGTTAGGAAATACACATACAAAAGGTCTTTGTGATTTGCCCAATGGAGATGACATGTTGAAGAATTTTGTCTGCCATAGTTTAATCTCTTAAAAGGAGGAAGACACTGTTTCAATTCACGTCAGAACTACAGCAAATGTGTATACACTGATTCAAAATACTCAAATGTATCAAATTTGCAACTAACAAACAGACAGGCAAAGCTTCCCAGGAACTGCAGCTTTAGGTGCTTCTGAATTTCTGGTCTCAGTTTGGTTTTGAGGGGGTTGAGACTATCCTTCAGCACATAAACATAATGTCCACATCAAACTTGTTTCTGAATTTCAAAATCTTATTGAGGTTGCAAGTTTTTGGCATTAGAATAGCTGAAATTGGATTCCCCCCCCCTCCTTTTGCTTTCTATACATAAATAGGTGTCAATTACTGACCATTTCATTCTCGTCCTTAGAACATTTCTGCCCATTGGGGTACAAAATGCACCCAAGTTCTAGGTAAGTACTATGAATGGATTTTACAGCCAAACATTGGTTGTGGGAACAAACAGGAAGAAAAACGTCTTTAAGAAAATCTTTAACTTAAAAGCTCTTCCTACCAGCAGCTTTTGACCATGTGACGTTTAGTCTTTTGATGTGATTGCCTCTTTTTATCTATATTCTCTCCAACACGGCATTAGGAAAGGAGATATGAAAAGCATATCACTTCATGCAGGTGTTGTAAAGATGGATTGCTTACTTCATATAGCGATGACAAAGATGGAGCTATTTTAACTACTGCCTCACAGAGTTCTAGATTTATCCTGTGATTTGGATTCTTGAATCAACGCATCAGCGTGTTTTCTTGGAAAATGGCAATGTGGGTGTAGGAAACGGGTGCTTCCCAGAGAGTCTTGGAAGGATTCCCGGGTCAGAACCTAATCCAGAATATTTGGAAGATGGTCAGCACGGCTCTCTCTCTCTCCCTCTCTCCCTCTCTCCCTCTCTCCCTCTCTCCCTCTC